CCAATACTAGGTGCGTGGTGATGCATCGGTGGAGGATGGAATTTTGTTTTCTCATCGCTCGACTTTCCTTGATTATTGCTGTTTTTTCATCCTGGCATCGCTCATCATTTTTCATCAATAATCGCATTAGCATGCGCGCATGCTGTTCGTAGATGACTTGGAACTAAAAATCTCGTTTCCTGTAGATGGACTATCCTCGACTCGGACCGCTTCTTTGTTTTTTTCATGGAAAATACTGTTAGCGTGCGCGTACGCTATTATCTCCCCGATAGTGACTTTTGATCATGTTCCTTCGTCATGGATGGTTCCCCTTGATGGGTCGCGACCCTCCATTTAGCTAGGAGGGGTGTCATGACTTTCGGATCGAACACTGTGCGACTGTTGCCACTGTTGTGTCTGACGCGACGTAGGCTTGGTTACCACAGACACTGACGCGACAGCGCGACAATACTGACGCGACGTAGGCTTAGTTACCACAGACACTGACGCGACAGCGCGACAATACTGACGCGACGTAGGCTTAGTTACCACAGACACTGACGCGACATAGGCTTAGTTCCTACAGACACTGACGCGACAGCGCGACAATACTGACGCGACATAGGCTTAGTTCCTACTGATACTGACGCGACTGCGCGACTGATGTCAACGCGACGTCGCGCGGTAGTAAGCCCCATACTACTCGTGACATATATTTAGGTAAACCAATGTCGCGCCAAATGTCGCGCAGTTTCCATAGTGAATGTCCCAATGTCGTATGGTCCTATGGTCGTGCGGTGTCTGTAGTCAGCGAGCGTATTCATCTTGCAGAATGAGATGGTGGTGCGTGCTGTCGTGATCCTTATCTTTTCTTTCAGAAATGATGTTAATGCGCGCGTATGCTATTATCTCTGTTTTCGTGACTATCGTGATTCTTATTCTTTCTTTCTGAATCGTCGTTAATGCGCGTGTATGCTATTATCTCTGTTTTGGTGATGATCGTGATTCTTATTTTTCTTTGTGAATCTTTGCTAGCATACGTGCGTGTTATTATCGTCTTTCTTGATGTCGTGGTCCGACTCGTGTTCCCTCGATTTTCCTTGTCGCATCTCTTGATTGTTGCTGTCGTAGTCTTGCGTGTCGTATCGTGTCCTGCGGTATTGCATCTCATCGTATCGCTTCTGTTGTTAAGATACGAGACACCGAGACAATACGTTCCTGCTGACCGAAGCTAGTTAACCAAGCCGAGTCGGTTCTAACAAAGCCGAGACAGTCCTAACCGGGGGGGCGGTGGTTTTCCGTCCTGTCGTATTTCCTTTACTTTTGCTGTTTTGCCTTCTATCGTAGTCTGGCTGCGCGTCCGTCTAGTCTCTCCTTGATTTTGCTTATTTTTGTATCGTAGTCTGGCTGTGCGTCCTTCTGGTCTTTCCTTGACTTTGCTTGATTTTTGCTGTTTTATTTCCTATCGTAGTCTGGCCGTGCGTCCGTCTATTCTTTCCTTGACTTTGCTTGTTTATTTCCTATCGTAGTCTGGCTGTGCGTCCGTCTAGTCTTTCCCTTTCCTTGACTTTGCTTGATTTTTGCTGTTTTATTTCCTATCGTAGTCTGGCTTTGCGTCTGTCTCATATTTCCTTGATTTTGCTTGTTTTCTTGTTTTATTGCTGTCGTAGTCTCGGTCATCGTGGTCCTTCTCTGGGGCGATGCTTCGGAGTGATGCGAAATTTCATTTCTAGTAGCCTTGGATGGGTGGGCGGATCGCATCTGGTATCTTCTTGACTGAATTTAGTTTGTGCTGAAATTCCTGTTTTTTTGACATTAGCGCATGCGTATGATGATTCTCTTGTCATGACCTTTGATGAGAGATGATCTCGTTCGTAGTCTATCGGATCGTGTTGATTTTTCCTTGACGGTCGTGGTCTGGGCGTTCCCCTCGGACAGAATCTTGACTTCATTTTGCTTGATCTTCGCTGTCTCTTATTTCGTAGTCTTTGCTTGTGGTGGCGCTCGTCTGGGGTGATGCGTCGGGCGAGGACAGAGTCTCGTTTTGACTCGACTTCGCTTTGCTTTATTTTTGCTATTTCTGATGATTTTATCGCTTGACTTTCCTTGATTTCGTAGTCTCCCTTCGTGGTGTTGCGTCGGGCGAGGACAGAGTCTCGTTTTGACTCCACTTCATTTTGCTCTATCTACGTGATTTTTTGTGATCTATCCCTTGACTTTCCTTGATTTCGTAGTCTCCCTTGTGGTGTTGCGTCGGGCGAGGACAGAACCTCGTTTCGACTTGACTTCATTTTGATTGATTTTTCTTATTTTTTGTGATTTGATCCCTTGACTTCCCTCGAATATTCTGGCTGTGGTCTTGCTCTGCCGTGGCTTTGACTGATTTCGTAGTCTCCCTCCTGGTGATGCCAAGAAACGAGACACCGAGACAATACGTTCCTGCTGACCGAAGCTGGCTAACTAAACCGAGACGGTTCTAACAAAGCCGAGACGGTTCTAACCGGGGGGGCGGTGTTTTTCTGTCCTGTAGTCTTTGCTTTAGTTTTTGCCTTTTTGCTGTTTTGCTTGATCGTAGTCTGATGTCTTCTGGTATGGACCGCTGTAGTCTATTGGATCGTGTTGATTTTTCATAGATGGTCGTAGTCTGGGCGTATGGTTTCATGTTATTCGCTTCGGTTGTATTCCTTATAGTGGCGCTCGTCTGGGGTGATTCGTCGGGCGAGGACAGAGTCTCCTTTTGACTCGACTTCATTTTCCTGTATTTTTGCGATTTCTGGTCATTTTATCCCTAGACTTTCATCATCCATCTGAAACTACTCGCCTATTACCAGATGATATTCATAGGTCCTACGAAATCATATGCGCACAGAGACTCGGTGATAGTGAGCTTCAGCCAAAGAAGTTTGCGTTCATCGGAAGGACTGGAATCCAATACTAGGTGCGTGGTGATGCATCGGTGGAGGATGGAATTTTGTTTTCTCATCGCTCGACTTTCCTTGATTATTGCTGTTTTTTCATCCTGGCATCGCTCATCATTTTTCATCAATAATCGCATTAGCATGCGCGCATGCTGTTCGTAGATGACTTGGAACTAAAAATCTCGTTTCCTGTAGATGGACTATCCTCGACTCGGACCGCTTCTTTGTTTTTTTCATGGAAAATACTGTTAGCGTGCGCGTACGCTATTATCTCCCCGATAGTGACTTTTGATCATGTTCCTTCGTCATGGATGGTTCCCCTTGATGGGTCGCGACCCTCCATTTAGCTAGGAGGGGTGTCATGACTTTCGGATCGAACACTGTGCGACTGTTGCCACTGTTGTGTCTGACGCGACGTAGGCTTGGTTACCACAGACACTGACGCGACAGCGCGACAATACTGACGCGACGTAGGCTTAGTTACCACAGACACTGACGCGACAGCGCGACAATACTGACGCGACGTAGGCTTAGTTACCACAGACACTGACGCGACATAGGCTTAGTTCCTACAGACACTGACGCGACAGCGCGACAATACTGACGCGACATAGGCTTAGTTCCTACTGATACTGACGCGACTGCGCGACTGATGTCAACGCGACGTCGCGCGGTAGTAAGCCCCATACTACTCGTGACATATATTTAGTCTCCCTCCTGGTGATGCCAAGAAACGAGACACCGAGACAATACGTTCCTGCTGACCGAAGCTGGCTAACTAAACCGAGACGGTTCTAACAAAGCCGAGACGGTTCTAACCGGGGGGGCGGTGTTTTTCTGTCCTGTAGTCTTTGCTTTAGTTTTTGCCTTTTTGCTGTTTTGCTTGATCGTAGTCTGATGTCTTCTGGTATGGACCGCTGTAGTCTATTGGATCGTGTTGATTTTTCATAGATGGTCGTAGTCTGGGCGTATGGTTTCATGTTATTCGCTTCGGTTGTATTCCTTATAGTGGCGCTCGTCTGGGGTGATTCGTCGGGCGAGGACAGAGTCTCCTTTTGACTCGACTTCATTTTCCTGTATTTTTGCGATTTCTGGTCATTTTATCCCTAGACTTTCATCATCCATCTGAAACTACTCGCCTATTACCAGATGATATTCATAGGTCCTACGAAATCATATGCGCACAGAGACTCGGTGATAGTGAGCTTCAGCCAAAGAAGTTTGCGTTCATCGGAAGGACTGGAATCCAATACTAGGTGCGTGGTGATGCATCGGTGGAGGATGGAATTTTGTTTTCTCATCGCTCGACTTTCCTTGATTATTGCTGTTTTTTCATCCTGGCATCGCTCATCATTTTTCATCAATAATCGCATTAGCATGCGCGCATGCTGTTCGTAGATGACTTGGAACTAAAAATCTCGTTTCCTGTAGATGGACTATCCTCGACTCGGACCGCTTCTTTGTTTTTTTCATGGAAAATACTGTTAGCGTGCGCGTACGCTATTATCTCCCCGATAGTGACTTTTGATCATGTTCCTTCGTCATGGATGGTTCCCCTTGATGGGTCGCGACCCTCCATTTAGCTAGGAGGGGTGTCATGACTTTCGGATCGAACACTGTGCGACTGTTGCCACTGTTGTGTCTGACGCGACGTAGGCTTGGTTACCACAGACACTGACGCGACAGCGCGACAATACTGACGCGACGTAGGCTTAGTTACCACAGACACTGACGCGACAGCGCGACAATACTGACGCGACGTAGGCTTAGTTACCACAGACACTGACGCGACATAGGCTTAGTTCCTACAGACACTGACGCGACAGCGCGACAATACTGACGCGACATAGGCTTAGTTCCTACTGATACTGACGCGACTGCGCGACTGATGTCAACGCGACGTCGCGCGGTAGTAAGCCCCATACTACTCGTGACATATATTTAGGAATTTCGGTTTTGTCCATGAGTGCCCCTCAGTTGGGTTCATATGCGGGTGAAGGATGGACCGCCTAAATTCAACATAGAAATTCTGTACACATTGCTCAGATGACAGCCCAATGACACGTCTGGAAAAATTGTCCTCACCTTGCTCATCCCTACAATGGGACAGTCATCGATATATCCCCGTGCAATATTCCTCAAATTCTCCATCTCCCAGTCAAGCAGCTTTATTTTTAAGCTATGGTCATGATAGGGAGGGAGGCCCAGGATCTTACTGCCCGTACTGTCAGTGGAATCTAGGGTACGAAGGATGACAGCAGGGGAGAACCACTCTCTCATACGCCCCATCCATTGTTTCATCGCAGGTAGGTATTCTTCTTGAGCAGCCTCCGGATTATGGCTGCCGACAAAAACGCCTCGCAGCATTGATCCATCAACTCCCGCCTCTCTCTGTGCCTTACGGTCCCTTCTCTGAGCCGCTGCCAATTCTCGGTTCATCTTCTTGAGCTGTGCAGTATCCTTGAATTGCGGAAGCCCTAGCAGCTGACCCATAATCCAAAGGTCCTGGCGTCCATCAAATTCAATATTGGCCGCAGAGTCAGTAACATCCGTTGATTGATGGCGTCTAGGCTGGCTTACCGTGGGTTTTGTGGTGACCGGTGTTGCAGTCATTGCAACCATTAAGTGAGATCTCTCCTGAAGCCCTCGAGCTGCTATGTGTACTTTATTGTATTTCCTTGCGCAGTGAGCTTCATCGAAAAACGTCACGTTATATCCACGACCGAAGAGGGTACTTGGGGCAGTTCGTTCAAAGCGAGGGCTAGCTACCGGCTGCCCGTAACTGTCCCTCTCGCCATCGATGAATACGGTGACTGCATCATCATGCGCTGCCTACCCCACATAAGTTATTTTGTTTTCTGACAACAGACCTCAGAAGTCACTTACATTTGTCGTGGCCAAAATGATGCGCCGTATCGAAGGCTGCTGGCATTTACTCCAAGCCATTGTCCACCACTGTGAACGTGCGGTATATTTGCCCGCGTAAGGAAGAACGTCAAACGTCGCTCGCCTTAGATACCGCTGTATTTCGCTCATCCACTGATGTTGTAGGTTAGGAGGACTCATGATGACGGTTGGTAAGTCTGGAATGTTGCCACCTGTCTTCTGGTGGCAACGTTGTGCTGTGGGGCATCCGTCAGCGCATGCAGCTGTGCGGGAAGCCCGACAGATTGCTTACAAAATTTGCCAGGAAACTTCCCGTGTTTCCTGTAATGCTCCTTGTAGTGTGCAAGGCACGCAATCAAACCAACAGCCTGCATGGTTTTTCCAACCCCAACGCCATCCATCAGCATCACCGGCTTACCGTCCAAAAACCTGTCAATTAGCCTCAGGATGCCAACTAGCTGGTGCCACCGAGGCGTCAAGCTCTGTGCCAGACTCGTCGGATCATCAAGCCATCGCTGACCTTCTTCACTCCACGGGTCAATGGCGGCGTCAGGGTCAGATCGCGTCTGGAAAAAAGGTAGTCTCTTCTCCGGCAGGCCTAGGTATTCCCAAAGATCATCCTCGCTGCACTTGTCATATTCCTCTACTCCACTCTTCCAGTCACTCACATCCATATTCTCTGTGAAGTCTACCACAACCTCATCGCCATCAAGCGGCACCATTGCAGCAAGTGTGGTCTCGATCAGAAGTTCGAGCTCCTTGACTTCTCGTTCAGTGGCCAGCTTGTCAAGCGCATCCCGTAGAGATTTAGGAAGCCCTAAACAATCACCGTTAGTCATCGTGTAGATGTCAGTCAGATACTGGTCACGAACGTGCTATTAATTCTGCTTTGGCGGGATCTTTCTTGGCAGCAGCCAGCATCGCATTCACCTGTTCACGACGCGCATCAAGGTTCTTACTCGTCTCCTGGTCTTTGAACACGCTAAGAAGGGTGAACAAGGTCTCCAATTTCTTCATGTAGGTGCGGATGCTGGCCATCGTGGGTTTTGCATTTGCGGCCGTGATGACTGCCCGAAGGTTAGCTCCCGCTCTAACTCACCAACCTGCGCAGCTTACCTAGCCATTGGTCTTCAACCTCCCTAGTCTTCTTGTCGATGCTGTTAGCCTGTCTTTTGATCGTCTTCCGATATCTACCCCACGTCGATACCAGCACTGTACTGACAAACGTCATGATGGGCGCTATAAGGAAGGATCCGTCGGTGAATGCATCGTCACCAAACAACACATCAGCCAGCTTGATGGAGACGATCTGTTTCACCTGCGCAGCTTCCATCGTCGGAAACTAAGTACATGGCTATATCATATTATGAGAAAGATAGATCGGAACATGACTTACATCATCTGCAGTCCTGCAATTCAACCTGGCCATGACATTGTGCGGCGCGCAACCGCTGTCTTCAAAGATGTCATTGACCAATTTGTTGATATTCCATTTGGCCCACGAAGTCTTAACCCAGGTGTTCCATAAACAACGACCTTCATGGTCATTATCTTGTCGTTTTAGACCGTAGTGTTCAGCAGGTTCCTCAGCCATTTTGCAGTTGTTGATGAAAGCTTCAACTGCCTGAGCCTTGCCCACGGTCCATCCAGTAACATCATGATATTTGGCCAGAGCAGTTGCATCATCGCCATGGTCGTACGCCCAAGGTTCGCTAAGAACGTGTGTCACAGACTGCCATACCGGATTGGACCATGGCAGCGTTGGATTGGCGATCCAGAGTTGGATCAGAGCAAGAGGGTATGGAATGGTTGGCATGACTAGATCTTTGGGATACTAGTAGGCTCGCCCTCCTTTATATTCAACGAGGCTGCCAGGACGAAAATTTTGGAACTTGCCTTATGACAGTTTCCCTCGCCACAAGCCCAGCGAGTGCCGACTCGGGTATCGATCGTCATCGCTAAGCGCTAGCGTGTGGAAAAGACGGATTACTACCATATCATAGAGGGCCCTTACGGTAACTTCGTGACCCACCACTACTTGGTGATTTTCAACTACAGACCTCAATTTTGCACCACTCACTTAGCTACTTCACTGAGTGCATTCGTTGAACATGTTCTTCTTATACCCTATTCCAAGTGACACGAACTAATTTTATAAAGAAATGATGGAGGTCGTATATTCTGCGTGACACACAAGTGTCTACCGACACTAGCAACTCCGGTTTTGTAGTGTCGTCGGGAACAGTTCCAAAAACTGTTTGTGTTCCAATTCAACTTCTGTGGAGACATCATGATTGAGGGAGCCACATTTGTATAGCGACGAGTGATCATATTTTGGCGAGTGCGGTCCATAGTCAAGAATCTGAGTGCTTGCTTATATGCTGCATGGACAGCAGCAGCAGGGCGAGTAAGGCGCGATATAGCAGCACGAAGGCCTATAGCTGACACACGGAGTAACGGTTCGACGTCCCCATGCTTTATGGAAAAACGACTTAGTCGACAGAAAATCAGTCTCTTCGTGCGAATATTCCGCCAAACGGTCGCAGGGTCTACCGGAAGATCAAGAATGGACAGGTTAAGGATCGCTGTGCTGATAGAAATGTAGCAATGACTCAAGCGAGCCGCCATCATGTCTGGTGGCTGGCGGTCAGTTGCGAACCGTATGAGGTTGGGGCGCAGAAACAGATGCACAGCTGCTTTCAGGGGCTCGTGCTTGGAATGTTCCAGGACAGACAACGTTGTCATGGGGAAGGCGTTGCTGCTGACTGGACATACAAGCATGGCTTGCCAGTTAAGATCGAAGCGAAGCGGAATGCAACATCAGGCTGTTGAACGATTAGATAAGAAATGCGATAGTGACCACCGATTCACTTACGGATAAAATGCATTGGTACATGAATGCCGAAAATTATTGAGCAAAGGAGACCATCCGGCATCTCAGCTCGCTCTGTGTCATCGATGAATATTGGACCGATCGAGTTGGAAGTTATCGAGTGTATTGGGTGAGGTGACATTCGCACAGTTATCATTTCCCATGATATTCACTGCAGGGATCGACTGCAATGGGCTGCCATCCAGCCGAAGCAAAAGAATGGCCCATCTTCTTCGGCAGTCCAGGCAGTATCGCAAGAGGAGTTGCGGGCACCAAGAAACGCGAGACTGGAGAGTGAGGACATAGAAATAGATGAACAGCGATCACAAAAGCTATAGGAGAGGAATGTTTTGTCTGGTAGAGACCTAGAGTCCGCGGAAAGCGCCGGTTTAGAGTCTGGAAACCTTACGCAATCAATGTTCGTGGGTTTTTGTTTCCTTAGTGAGTGGTTGTGCTTCGCTGCGTCTCACATGCTTCTGCATAAACAACATGACCGAACCATAAGACTTGTTCATTGCAGGATGGAGACTATCCTGTTACTCGTGGCGGGTTCAAGGAGATATGGAAATGCACCTTTCACATCGATCGGACATCGATCAAAGTTTGTTTGCTGTCTTTTGTCTGTTTATCTGTCTAAAATTTGATTTGGCAGGTCGCAGTGAACGCAATGCAAATAATGTACTACAGTGATGTTTATTTTGAACAAAGAAAGACAAACGCAATCCAGGCGAGTGTCTTACCGAAGGACTCAGTCTATTACTTACACCACGGGCACCACTTCGTAGAGGATAAATCGTGAACTCAGGAATTGTGCTGCCCTCAACCATGCAAATATTGTACCCATCTATGGTTATACGCATGGCTTCGGCCTATTTCCAGCGATAGTCACACCTTGGGCAGAAAACGGTAACCTGTTCAACTATCTGGAGCGTGAGGGTGCGGCTCTTACTCTTGTCAGACGATTCCAGTTGGCAAGTCTTCTCTTGATGTATTTTGGGTAGACCACAGAACTAATTGAAACACTTAGCTAAAAGACATCATAGCTGGTCTGCAATATCGTATGTGACAGATACTGTCAGTGCCCGCCCGAGCTCTAACCATTCCTCATAGTTCACGCCAACTGTGTCATCCATGGAAACCTCAGTGGGGTAAGTTCGATCTTCTCGATAGCTCCATTTTATTTAGACGCGAGCTCCAGCCCAATGTGCTCGTCCGTGATGATGGCACTGCGTGCATTGCCGACTTTGGTCTTTCCTTGATGTATTCAAAGGTCATAAGCGTCACTGAAGCTTCCTGGACTTCCACCCTCAAAGGAAACGTGCGATGGATGGGTCCTGAGCTATTACTAGAGAAGGAGGATGGATCTCCAACTCGTCCGAGCGAGCAGAGCGACATCTATTCGTTCGGCGGTATCATGTTGCTGGTACGTCTGGGGTAATCCCTACCTTTGGTTGATATTACTAGTTTTGCCTTTAGGTCTTCACCAACAAAATTCCTTATCATCACCTCCGGCGTGACGTCATGATCTTCCTCCACTTATCTAGGTCTGAAACGCCCTCCCGAACTCATTATCCTGAGCTCCCTGAAAAGTATTGGCCATTTATCGAGCGATGTTGGTCTAGTGATCCTCGGGATCGTGGATCATCCATCGACGGAGGAAGTTGATATAATGATCAGGAACGAATTTGACTCACTGTCGAGATCTGAGATGTATCCTATTACTCATGGCGACCCCCATCAGACAGGACTCCAAGACCTCTCAAAGTATATCTCCAAGGTTGGGAACGACCCTCTTGCTCGTGGTGGGTTCGCAGACATTTGGAAATGCACCTACTACGTTGATCGCGTACCAGTCCAAGTTCGTTTCACAGTGTTGTTTGTCCATCAGTTCAAAATTGATAATTGGGCAGGTCGCGGTGAAAGTATTGCAGGTATGCGCTAATGATAAATTTGGGCCGGCAAGGACGAAAAAGACCAAGGTGAGTTTCTTGACGAAGGACTTCATCTATTACTTATGGACTGCCAGCTCGTAGAGGATAATGCATGAACTCAGAATATCTGCCGAACATCAACCATGCGAACATCGTACCCATTTATGGTTACACGTATGGCTTCGGCCCATTTCCAGCGATAGTTAGTCGTTGGGCAGAAAGGGGCAACCTGTCGGATTATTTGAAACGTGAGGATGCGGCTCTTACTCTCCTTAGAAAATTCCAGATCGTAAGTCTCTTGTATTTCATGCAGACCACAAACTGATGGCAATCTCAGCTGAGGGATATTATAACTGGCCTGCAATATCGTACGTGCTAGTTATTCTCAGTGCTAGACTTGGAATAGTAACATTCCTCACAGTTCATGCTAACAATGTCATCCATGGTGACTTCACCGAGGTAAGTTCGACCCCCTCCCAATAACTTTGATTTGATCGAGATATGATCTCTAGCCTAACGTGCTGATATATGCTGATGGCACCGCGTGTGTTGCCGACTTTGGTCTTTCCTTGATGTATTCGGATGTCATAAGCATCTCTCAGGCTCCCTGGACTTCCACCCTCAGTGGCAATGTACGATGGATGGCTTTTGAGCTGCTTGGAGAGCGAGAGGACGGAACTCCAGTGAGGCCAAGCAAGCAGAGCGACGTCTTTTCGTTCGGCGGTATCATGTTGCAGGTACGCCCGGAATAGTCTCAACTTGATGATGTCATGAGCTCTGCCTCTAGGTCCTCACCAACAAAATCCTTTATCATCACATCCGGCATGACTACATGGTCGTCCTGTACGTATCTAGGTCGGAAAGGCCCTCCCGAACTCATTATCCTGAGCTCCTTGAAAAGTATTGGCCATTTATTGAGCAATGTTGGTCTACTGATCCTCAGGACCGTCCATCGACGGAGGAAGTTAATGTGATGATCAGGAATGAAATTGACTCGCTGTCCAGAATTAGTTGATTCTCGCACTTGTCTTGTATCCGAACATCTGCTTTACAGTCCAGCCAGATAGATGAACCTAGGCATCTGTATACGGTTCACTCCAAGATTTCGCTAACTTGTACTGTATTCATTCAGTACTAAGTGCTACCAACTTGCACTATATTACCTAACATACCTTATTACCGTTGTATAAGGCGGCCAGTCATTAGCCCGCGTAACTGTAATCATTATCAGGGTGAATATGTGGAGTTAAAGCACAAGATCTCAAACCATAGGCATTCCAAAGACTATACATAGCAGAGTGTGGTACCTGGACGTTGAGAAGGACGGCAATTTTTTAGGGGACAACAAAAATGATGTTATTATGTCATGGGGATCACCGAGGAGCAGCCCTAAGTTGCGGCCACTATACATAGCTGAGCGCTAAGCCACTTGAGGAGCAGAGATACTGTTGTGTCCCACCGTGACAAGCTTCGACCTATCACGGAAGTTCAGTGTGATTACACGGGGATCAAATATATCAAAACTTTGAATTATGGAGTGATGGAAGTACCCTCACCTCCACATAACGTCCGAGATATGTCCTCGCCGAATGCAAATTTGTCGCACCGCTACGGATGTATTGTTTTTTACGACTCAAGCTTCGGAAACGCCATGGTACTGGTACAAGGGCTCCACTTAAGTCATTTTAACTCGATGATAAATGAAAACGCTAACCAGTAGACCCCTCGTGGTCCGATAATTATGAAATTACTAGTAGTGGCAGATCTGGCAGCTACTGACACTGATACATCAGCACGCAACTGGCACCCATGACAGCTGTCTTACCACGAGTAGACAGGGGCGAAGGAGCTCTTTCCGCTGAGCTTCGCAATTGGCTGGGGTTTGGAGTATGATTGATGCGCAGGACACGGCTGAGCTCCTCGGTGTCGCAATGTGCTAATCGAAATCCATGGTCGTTAAATGAATTTTAATGTCGTTCAAAGCAGCGCAAGTTCTAACTCGAAGACTGAAGAGTCAACCAAGCGGTGTTTGAAAGTTTACTGTGCACCTAAGTCAGTATACTGGGTCTGGTGTATATTATAAGGCATTGTTTAGTTCATCGAGGATGAAGGTAACAACTGAATGTAGAGGTGACTGGATGATACGAAGCTCAGGTCTGATAAAAGATCTCCGTACGTGAATAGGACAAACCCGTTCGATCTTTCAAAAGAAGACCATGTCTATTAGTCGTCGTCATTCAAGGACTGCTGAATCTCATTCTTCCACAAATCTGAGAAGTCGTTGATGTCCCGACCGCTACTCAACGCGAGGGCTTCCATTGGCAACATGTTGTGTTGGTAAGCTGGTGCGTTGCGCGATGCGAGCGGATGTAAAGGCGAGTCGATGATACGGAGCTTGGGTGTGCTTGACCCCTGCGTGAAGACCGACAAGAGCTCTTCGTACGTGAATAGCAGGGGATCCGTTCGGGGTGCGTATGGGTTGAAGTATAGGATCATGTCCCCGAGACAGATCACGTGTCATCAACACGTCGAAGACGTCTTCAGAAGTGTGATGAGTGCGCGGACTAGTACGACAAAAACAATGTGACACATACAGTCTTGCTGTCCATGCCATTCAGACTTGATCTTGTCCCCCCAAAAACGCTGAAGCGTTTCTAAGATCTTGTTTTGTGTTTGCGGCTCGTTCATGAAGTCATAGAAATTCGTACCGCGTTGTGATATCCCTGTACGAGCGTCGTTCGTGGCTTGCTGGAACAATAATCAGAAAACAGGACGTACCTATGAGACGGCCTTCACGAACGAAACACCTGAACTCGCGACTCCGGTCTATAGGATACCATTTCCTCAAGACAAGCTCGAGTTGGTACGATGGCGGATTCAAGGAATCGCATTGGCATCCCTCGAAGACCGCGTCGATACTTAGATCGTGTGATATGAAGTCCGAGGATTTGAGTAGGATGTAGACGTCTGATGGAGATGTGCATTTGAGAGGCGAGGATGGTGGTAGCACCCATGATGCGTCCTGTGTTCGATGTGAAACGGGGATCGATGTCGATGGAACGAGCTGACCTTTGGTGAAGAAAAATTGAGCTTGGGGAAAATGGCGCCGTATTCTTTGATAATTTGTCTTATCCGCTCATCTAGATCGGGGAAGGAGAAGGATTGCCCAACTGCAGCGTCGTCCTCATCCTCTTGGTCCGAAGGAGAGCTTTCTGCGGGACTGGAAGTGGGAAGTGAGTACGACTAAAACAGATGGTGATTGTAGCCAACTGACACGTTTTCTGAACCTTCTGGTACGAAAATGCCGTCCGAGTCGAGGTACTCCTTGAATGCTTGACTCAAGGGACGGATGATGGTGCTTTTGATGCTAATGGAGGAAAATGTCGGATACCATGATGAAAATTGGAAGGAAAGTAGATAATCTGGTGTTTGTAGAGGGGCTGTTGGCGTGGCAGACTTTGAGAACTTCGCTCAGTAACCCGTTGACTGCATCAGCATCCGTTTCAAATCCCCGTTTTGCGAACCGCAAGAGCAAAGCGATGGCAAGATGGAGCTGCGTTACGCTTCGATCCGGATGATCAGTTGCACGCAACTCGAGGACCCCTTGAAAATGAGAGATAGGGATGTCGAGGTCGTGCACAACATACACAGGTCAAGTTCCCTCGGAGTCAGAGCGTGGCGGTCCTGGTTCCATTGTTTATCGGGTCGTGCGGGGGACCTGTATGTGTTATTAAGTCGGTGAGCTCCTGGTTAGCTGTGTCCTGTTTGTGACTGAAGTACCATTAAAAGGCGGTCAGCTAGCTTGAGGCAGTATGCGGGTGATACTGCACTTCCGGGAGGCAAGGTGGAGCCCCAAGATATTACTACTGAGGATACTGCGGTACCCATATGGAATTCCTTTGTCAATCTTGGTCTGACTTGTCTGTTTGCAGTGACTCCGTGAGTGTGTCGCCGGTGTCTTGCGCCGACTGACACAGTTGTCTAGGGTTGTGGTGCTCATTCTCGACAACACTATGCAAGTATATTGAATTCATGTTGGGGGTGTCATTAGATGTTATAACTTTCTTGGGTCATAGCCTAGTCTCAACGAGTCGGAGGTGACCTCGATATTCTCATGACCGCTCGCTTCCTTCCTCGCATGATCTTTCCCTTTCCACCCATACCGTATTCCAGATCCTTCGATACCCTACCACACGACGGCAGAGTGGGAATGGAGCGGAGGCGGTTGAATCCGCATGCATAGTTTCCTCACCGGACGCGAAGCAGACGGCGTGAAACCTGTGTTTGGGCTTACTGCGTGCGCTTATAAAACATCACCCCCACAAATATTTACACTGATCTTAGGAGCATGTTGATCTACGTTGCTATCTGGGGGTACAGACGTGCTCCAGACTTTGAGTTGCAGCCGCAAAACGCGCCTACGCAGGCTCAGCAGATCGCTTGCGCGCTCCTCACGCCTTCGAATCCACTGCGGCTGGCGTGCGAAGGCGAGGGCATTGATGGCTGAGTCTATCCTGCATACACCACAGGATCTGAACTCTGGGCCTGATATGGTTGAGTGGGACAAGAGCGGTAGAGAAAGGGAGAACACAGGGCGCCAAATTGGCCAAAATGCATCAGCAAAAGTGGCTGACAAGGCCTCGGCAAATACCGTAAGCCTGGCGTAGAGTTCCAATATGGCTACATGCCTTACAGGCGCCATGTCAGGCATTGCAAGGCTCTGATTGGTAATCTTATAGCTGCTTAGCGCTTAACATCGTCACTCACCCATGTAGGATTGCATGCGAAAATTATCAATCCAATTAATGCAACACATTTCTTCTCTTACACTGCTGAAAGACAAGTCCTTCCAATGCATTCTCCTATACCGCTGCACAAGCTGATCCACCCTCCGCCTCGTTAATTTCGACTCCAGAGTCTGACCTTGACTCATCCAAGGACAGAGACGATGTCCATCTCACTGGCACCAATTCTCAATGTAAATCTGCAGATGGAAGTTGGGCTAATATTAATGATTTGACCATCAGTGACTCTGAGCGCACGGGAGGTGCTGCAGGCCCCACCAGGCGGAGGACGCTGCGTTACAGTTCCTCACCTTCCCCTCCCAAACGAACGGGCTCAGCATTCATGGTAATGTCGAAGCACCTTCAACGCGCATCTCTCCGCGTCGTCAGGCCACGCCTTGGACAATTCAATTCGCATACCGGATGAAGACTTCGACGATGGCAAGTATTCTCCCACACAAGATAACAAGGAGCCTCGAAGAACAATGGAACGAACGACAAGTGTTCCTTACCAGAAAGCTAACTCCCTTACGAAGGCGCACTCTCAATTTCTTAGAGTCCTCCAGCACCTTTCGTCTTCGCCTCTATGGCTTCCTTTCTCATCTGTATGCCTCTTCTAGGTTTCTCCCGCCCGACAATATTATCCTTGCAGATGGACGACCTCTGATACTTTGTTTAATAATCTTTACTGCCTGCGTATTGATATCTCAAGCGTCTCACTCGATCCTTCTTCCCTCGGATTAGTCTATGCCAAATATGCGTTTCTGGATTTCTGCTAGATCCTGAAGTTCCAATATCAGCTTTATTTGCATCATCAATAACGTCGACATTGAGGGTAGGTCCTTCCGCATCCGGTTCCTTGTCACGCGGACTCTCCTTAAGGCCCTTCTATGATCGTATATCGTGGCCTTTCAAACTTTCTGAGGCTACCCCGTCATGTTCGATGCCTGACATAGTAGTTGGTCCAAGCAGTTTGCCTCATGACGCTTCGCGTCAAGAAAAACAGATCATAGTAGATGAGCCTTCTCCTGAAAGAAAACTCATTTCTCGCTACAGCATTTCACAGCTCCCTTCATCAATAGCATTCCCCTTCGAACTCGAACTCAGCCTTACACTGCCATTCCGATTAAACATCGATAACGCACAGCGACAAGGTGTATCGTGATATGTCATACTTGTGCCAAAGTTGGGGAAGAATCCACTTCATCGCCATTCTCAGCTTCTGGTTGAGCTTTATGCCGCACTTCAAGTTGTCGTCGTGACTTCAGCCAATGGCGTATGTGTTTTTTATTCATATTTCTGTTGCGCTAATTTCCTCTCAGTGGTCCCCAATCATGTACTCGATCATCGATGCCGAATTTTTGTCTCCTGCTTCTATTTCATTGTCTGCATCCTTGTGTTGAACATCTGGCTTCTCAATCTATTCATTGCTGTGATAACGAACTCGTTCTCTGCCATACGTGCAGATACGCAGAAGAGTGCCTTTGGTGCTGCACCGTGTGTTTCTTGACTTTTCCATGTGCTAACGCTAATGTTATTCCAATTACAGACTAGGACTTGTCGTCGAAGTTGGTCAGACGGGAAACACATTTCTCAGAGCAACCCACTCAAGGAATTCTACACCCATATGCGCTGGTGCTGGGTGTTTCTGGCTCTCATGTCGCTCGTGGTACAAGCCACCGCCAGTGCTGATATTAACTCGGAGCTATACCCCTGGTTGATGATATTTCAACTAGGGAGGTTCTATAGGGTGATTTTGGAGTTCCCGAGAATGAAACTGCTCATGGCGAGTCTAGTCACCATCTGAACATCTTACAAACAACTAAACCATCTCAGCTCACGGTCTTTGGAAACCTTTATGGTCTAGTGAACATGACAATTTTCTTGCTGGTCGTCAACCTCCTTGCTGTGTTGGTCTGCGTGGAGCTCATTCGCGGTGATATGAATGACTCGATTGGGTTAAATTTCGGACAGTTGTGGAATTCGTTCCTCGCTATGTACCAGCTCTTTTCCTCCGAGAATTGGACAAACATCTTGTACTCGACAGCAATTACAGGGATTTCCCTGGGGCAGGTGGTGATCGTGATTATTTTCTTATGCTCGTGGCTTATATTTGCAAATTGTAAGTCGCCTAAAGTGCTCGTGCATATTGCTTGCCCTCCTTCATTGACGCACATTGTTTTCTCCAGTCATCATGATGCAGATGTTTGTCGCCGTCATTCACGAGAACTTCAGTGTCGCAGAAGAAACAAAGAAGAGTAAACAGGCATCGGACTACTGGGTTCAACACCACCCACAAAGGGTCACGCACAATAGTTGGACTCGCAAGTTGAATCCATATCGATGGATCAAGGCGGATCTGTTCGCGTCAAGGTCGAAATCTTTCCTTCGAACCTGGTCTTACCAATGCAGAAGACGCTTGTGCAGGATTATGGGGTTGTTAGACAGCACAACCGAAACGGGGCTGTATGTGTTTTTGAGTGTCTGAGATGACAAACTGCTGATATCCTGATGCGAAAGAAATCCGTTCTGTTGAAGAGTGCGAGACATCTGCCTTCAAAATCATTGACGATGCTTTAACAACTGTTTTCTGGAACTATGGATTCTAATGATGTGTTGTTGGCGGACTTACGACAAAGCCATTGTGAGTTGACAGCAGTGCAAAACGAAGAGACAGGGCGTTATCTGTGAGCTTTCTGGTATCCAATAAGTGGCAGCTTTGCTGACATGAACTTGTAGTGATATTCTCGCCAAGGTGGGCAACGGCAACGACACGACTGAGAACGACCATGACGAGCATTCCGAGTGGAAGGCGCAGAAGGCTGGCCCCTCAGTGCTTGGAACAATCCTTCACCTTCTACGATATTCTCCTTTGACAACTTCCGATCCTCGATGCTCATTCTTTTTGAGATTGTATTGTTGGAAGGGTGGATCGATGTCATGTTGGTCTTGATGAGTATTACTGGGAAGAACCAGCAACCACAGGTCGATGTTTCACAGACCAGGCCTGTTGGCTTATGGCTTGCTTAGTATCATCATCAGCAACTTCTCATAGTCGGAATGTGTCAAACATTGCTGCAAGAGATTATGAAGACTTGTCGCAGGTCCGTCCAATACCATTAGCTCTCTAACGATCCAATTCACATACACAGCAAGACAGTTGGATGCACCTGGGGTTAACCTACAATAGTTGTAAATAGGATAATTTCAGACTCAACCGCAGTGTGAAAAGGACCCGTGCGCCTCAGTACTATTGAATCTGAAGTGTGACATTTGTTGTGACACTCAAGTTCGGTTTATCGCAGTGTTTGTCCCACGGGCAATGTAGTTTGAACCTGAGGACATCCTCAACTTTAGCCGCTGGTTGCAATGTTATTTTCATCCAGGGAACGAGGGTGATTGCAACCTGATTACCGGTTGCAGAACATGAGGGCCAACGTGCTATGTACTATGAAATTTACTGGTTATAGAATTAATGCAAATCACAGAGGAGCCTTCGCTCATAAAGATTAGCTTAACAGAACTAAGTAGAGTTGGTCCTCACGCTCAGATCAGCTTAATACTGATTATTGAATGTCATTTATCTTTGTGCCCAGGTTTGCACAATACTGGTCACCATCTAGCGTTGATCTTCATGCCCAGATTTGCACAGTACTGGTCGCCATCTGGCGTTGATCTTCATGCCTAGATTTGCGCAGTACTGGTCGCCATCTGGCGTTGATCTTCATGCCTAGATTTGCGCAGTACTGGTCGCCATCTGGCGTTGATCTTCATGCCTAGGTTTGCGCAGTACTGGTCGCCATCTGGCATTGATCTTCATGCCTAGGTTTGTGCAGTACTGGTTAAGTCATCTTAAGAGCCTGGATATTATTCCTCGTCTGACGTCAAGTTGTCAACTTAGGGCATTTCTGTCAGGCTAATAGCTTTGCAATCACACAGGACTAATATTAAAGAAACTAGCTATAGGGTATTGAATGTCCAAGTCGAAATTCTAATGAAGGTGTCGGGCCCATGTACAACCGCTGGCTCGCTCAAATGAGCCTCAAAATGTCCTCCATACTTCCCAAGCCGTTCTGCTTCAAGGCAGCAGCACCAATGGTAGAAGACCCACTGTGTGCCCCGTAAGCCTCTGGAATAATGATGTCAATCATGAATGGATTTTGGACGACCGGCCTCTGGTAGCGATGGGTGTCAAGTTCGATGGTATGGCTGATATATCTAAGGCTAGGTCAGCTTGATGTGCAGCCAGACAGTCAGGCAAACATACACAGTCCAGCCTGGTGTCCCCCAAGAATCTCCCCACTGCTTCTGTCGCGCCTCAAACCACATTTCAACTTTGGACCAGAAGTCCTCGCCTTTGGTGGTGCGCCCGCCTTGGCCGCGCTTGCGCTTCTTCTTCAGTGGTTCTCCGATAGGAGAGTCTTCAGCATCTTCTGCACTCGGTGTTGAGAGACTCTCATCTTCCTCCTCTGCCCGGTCAAGCAAATGAGGGTTTTCATATGCAAAACGACGCTGGAATTTGAAACGGTGAGAAAATTTGGCAGTCATACAGTGGAGAAAGACCGTACTAAGATAGCCAAACGGGCGCGGACTGGATGTCCAAGGTCTGAGTTCCCACCTGCACGACGGAAACGATTCAAACAGTCATAAATAAAGTCTGATAGTGTGCTTGTGTCATCGCCAATGACACTGTCACGTAGCTGCAACAAGGCAATCAGTTGAGAACCGAAACAAATATCAACCACTTGTGCGCACCAACTCGCGAAATGAATTATGGACGCTAGAACACTGACACTTAGTATAGATGGTCAGGAAATGTTCCCTAGCTGGGTTTCCATAGATGTTTGTGAGTTTAAAGGCCTCGCGATCTTTATGTAAATGATTCTGTGGGATTCGAAAATAAGCATACAGCGCTATCTAATAACTCACTGGCAGGACTTACCGCAACATCAAAATGAAGTGTCATGAACGTGATCCTGTTAGGATCAAAGATAAGATCACCTGCCACAATGCGTATGTTTGTCTTTATGCTTCAGATATTTGATAGATGATGGCGCAAGAAGATTACTTACTCGTTGCTCAGGACTAAGTGAAAATGTGGTTTCGAGACGGATTTGTAAATCTGCGAGAAGTTGTTGTGTTGATTGGTGAGAGGCAGCAATTATGCGCTGTTCCTTGAGAATGCAGAATATACTGCCAAGGAGATAAGTTCTAGTTGCAAGGTCAGATTTGCTCAGTCCATGACCGAGCTGCAATGCAAAAAATGTCAGCGTGTGGATGAAAAATCAAACCAGTTGACGTACCTTAGCAAAACCATGTAGGTTTTTCCGTAAGTCCTGTTCTGCATCGCCAAGGCCAAATTGGTTGGCGAGTGCGTCCACAAAGAGGGCGGATAACTCGTTTGCGAATAGATTTGGGTCAATTTGTGGTTGGTGTGAACTTGAAGGTGGGGATCCAGGAGTGCGTAGGTAGGCAGAAGGGCTCATCAGCAAGCTTGAATTCGAAGGACTTCCTGGCTGGGAATCATTGAGTGGACCAGATAAATGGAAGGATGATAACGCCCGTGGCTGAGAACCGGTAGGTGGAGTAGAGAAGTCAAAGGACATATTTGTAAACTGGGATGAGTGACAGTGAAAATGAATGACTGACTCCTCGAAGGCAAGTCGCTGGAAAGTGCTCTACTAATAAAATCAGATGCTCATCGACACATTTATATAAAAACTCAGCTTACATTAGTGGGTTCCATGCGGTATTAATGATGGCCTCAAGGGATATTTTCGGTTTAATTGTTGTAATAAGGATCATGTTTGGTGGTAGTTGGCGCTGCAGCAAGGATGGCCTCAAGGTATAATTTCGGTTTTGTTGTCATAATAAGGATGTTTGGTGGTAGTTGGCACTGCAGCAAGGATGGCCTCAAGGTATAATTTCAGTTTTGTTGTTGTAATAAGAATGTTTGGCGGTAGTCGGTACTGCAGCAAGGATGGCCTCGAGGTATAATTTCAGTTTCATTGTTGTAATAAGGATCATGTTGAATGGTCATAGTGAGCCCTGCAACCGAACGGTGACACTGCATATTAGCAACAAGTATTGGTAATCAACTAAGAGGGGCGCGTACAGCAGATGATATTATGTAGAAGGAGATATGATAAAGAATGTTATGCACCTGGGTACTTGTAGGTGCAGCAGATGATATGTAGAAGCGAAAACCCGCTCCTGGTTACTGAACTTGTAATACAGACCGGTGTTGCTGTAGTGATCTATTAACTTGTCGGCCTTTAGCATGTGGTCCATGTGCTGCCGCTATAATAGATGTCGTGGAAGCTCCACCAGTGGTGTCATTGCGTGTCCGAATCTCCCTTGCAGCACCCTCGAGGATTGCGAGGTTCATATCTTGCGGCTGAATAGGTACCCGAAGGCCCTGCATGTGCTTTGTGTCTCGCATCCGTGCGGTGTTGAGAACAAGGTCATGAGGGTCCCCGATGTGATGTATCACAGCCTTAGCTTTTGATGTCTTCGCCCGTTCTTCGTAAACAAATTCAACATCGGAGGCCAAGCTCATGCATTTGTGTACTCGGCATTGATGCTGCAGATTGGCTGCACATAAAATTTGCTTTCATAGAAACAGAAATTCAGTGACTGATGACTCGTACAGATGAACCACCAACCTCGACAGGATAGAGCAAAAAACCACCATGTGCCCTGACTGCGGGCATAGAGTAGGATGCTGCCGGTTCGCCAACACTTCCGCGTTCCAGAAGAATTGCATCTGGACACAGAAGGTTATCTGCATCCGAGCCTTGGCGCTGAATAATTTCTCGAATACACGCTACAATTGGAGACTGCTCTGCTGTGCCATCCACTACGAGAACCCAATCTCCTATCTTACAAACATCCCCATTGAAAAGCACCATGGACTTGCAAGTACGGAAATTATGTCCTTTGAGAGTGTCGTTTGGAAGCGATCGAAGTGCATTCAGAAAGTATTTCCCCGTCTCGGTAGTCAAGTAAGGTTGGAGCGGCAGGTTGTTACAAAGGCATTGACCTAAAGATACTGACCCTTAGTATTGTATTTCTCAAAGTTGGAACTCATGTAAAATTGAACTTTACCGTATTTTTTAGTGTCAGCATGTGTGTCGAGTCCGAGGTAGTCAGTAATAATATTTGGCCGTTGAACAAGTGACAATGGACCCTTTCCAACAACTTTGATGTTTATGGCATCTGGTGGCTTGTCTGATGAGGGATTAGAGGCTTGGATAAGTTCGGGAGAATCACAGTGAATGTCATTTGTATTATTATCATGCATGAGTATTTGTGCCCAAGAGAATATGACGAATCCGACTTCCATGGGCGAAAGAATGTGCGATATCCCGAGAAGGAGCATGGTGGTTTGAATGAATACTTTTCGCACGAATGACAGCATTGAAGGACTCAAATGCCTCTGTCGCAAACAAAGCAGCTGGCCCAAATCGTCGAATGTGGTCAACGACATGTAATAGAACATAAAATTTAGGCTTATTGAACCATCGGGGAGTCCACCTGGCGGTGCACGCAAGAAAGTTATTGATCGATGTTGTAAGATTGCACTGAGATGATAATGATCAGATACTAATATGAATATCAGCAAATCAGACTGAAAAGTATGCTACATACTAAATGTTCCATGGAGTTTTCGATTTCAGGCTGCCAGATGAGTGGTATTAGGTTTGATAATGCAACCCAAGTATCATAGCATTCTGTGGGTACCAAGTCATGAAGCACGAATGGTGCAACTTGTGCGATAGCACGAAAATCACGACCAACAAGAGATCCTGCATATTGAACGAGGGTGTGACCAGCGAGATGGCTGAGTCCAAGACCTGAGACGTCAACAGATGATAGGCGAGTTTCTAAAAGTTCCCGCTTCAATTTGTCTTTTCCGATTCTCACAGAGACAACGTCGCACCAAAGGTATTTGACAAACCCAAGAAGGACTGTGTGGAGGATTTCCACAGGTGTGTCGGTGTGAGGATCGATACCTGAGATGTTGTTGAAGTCAATCCTAATAATATTACACTGTGAAAATGGTTGAGAGACCTTTGATTCGCCACACAGGACTTATGACATTTTCAGGCAGTGTCTCTTTAACTCTATCAAGCACTTCCTGTTTTGCCTTATTGCCACCCCGGATTTTGCAGTATGATTCAGCTAGGCGATTCAAGAATGAGTCCAGAAAGGTGTCCTTGATGCCCATAGAAGTCTTCCTTTGTTTGATCTGGGTCTGATTCCCGACTGTTGACGCATGAATGAACATTGACTTGAGTTCAGCGATAGTTTCATCCTTGTGACGTGGTTCTCCTATCTAATATCATACTTCATAAATGAAAATATATGCAAGACCGCTCAGATTTGTTATTACCTTTACAAACTGCTTAACCCGTGTCGCCATCTCCTCCATGGTCTCCTTTGCTCATTTCCATGTAGATTTTGGAGGAGCATCGGTAGTATAGGCTTCGGATTCACTTCCACTAACCTCACCAACACTATGGTCGGTATCTTCAGGTTGTGCAGCAGCTGCTCGTGCAGGATTGCTCTCCACACTTGCATCGTGCCCCTTCACTTTACAGATACGGCAAAAATATTTTCCCATTGACCCGATATGACAGGCCATCTCACTTTGCATGGGGTTGTCCCCGAGCAAGGCCAAGATGGACGGGATGACAAGAACATACTCCTCGTGGACACAGTCCCAGGCCCAGATGCCTTGCTTCCATGATTCCCTAAATTTTACCAGCATCGTTATTTCCACTTGCCTGCTCACAACAAATCTTACTGACTCAAGTTGGTCTACAATACCATCCAACATTTCAAGTGGAGGGGCAAGATTCGATGTACAAAGAAAATGGACGTTGTACTCTCAGTGGACTTCTGCTCGTGGCAATCCTGCAGCTGTAAAAAGAAATGAATTATGTTTGTTCCACTTCTTCGATAAGTTTCCAGATGTGTCGTCGCAGTATAACCAGAGAGGCATTGCGTATACGCGAGCACCTGATGCCCGAACACGCCATTGATTGCCTTCAGAAGGATTGGTTAATGTCCATGGCTGCAATTTGCCATTAAGTTCACGTTCTACACCTAAACATATATTTGCGAGATGTAATAGTCAAAGTGATAAAATGACTCTACCATATATCGAGTATGCACGAGGTAGACCAGATGTGGCTTTGCTCGAATCCCAGTTTCGGAATGATACAAGAAGATTATCTTCTGATACTTCAAATGAATGAAAATATTCTACAACCCAACCGCAATCCAGTTCACGAGTGACAGGCCGCAATGACCAAGCTTTAGTGTACATCTTCCCGCCACGTATGAACCACCGAAATGGAATGCAGGCTTGGCCGCTCGATAGTAATGCAGGCTCAAAAACAAAGAAATCTTGGTTGTGCAGTCTGACAACAGGCGTAAGCAGCTCCGGGTCAAGTTCCTCAAGCCAACATTTAGCTTGTCGAGCTTCATTCAGTTCCACACCGGTATCTTCAGGGTAGAAGTGTAACAGTGGCCGAACACGAGGATTCATCATTTTCTTCAAACACAACTAAGTATAAAATATTGATTACATTTCAGCAACACACACACCTGCCGAATAATGTCAGGCAGCGAGTTAACATAGTACCTATGGCCAAGAGCACCTTCATAAGGGATTGAATGGATACCACATAATCGTTGAATAGTGTCTTTGATGAGTTTGACAGACTTCACCGAAGGTACATCGACTACATTGTTGACCCGAAGTAGCCAGAGTAAAATATCAATCTGTCGTTCTGAAAAAACAGAGCGTGGAAGGTGCATGAGAATATCAAGTGTGCACGTCTGATAGAACACCACTGGATCAACAACAGTTGGCAGGTTGATAGACGACCTTACAATCTTATCAGGCCACGGAAACCATTCCTCATTCACGATTTGATTTCGAGAACACTTTCTATCACTGCCAGTTCCAATAGAAGCATCACCAGCCTGGTTGTCATCTGCTCAAAATGTCAAAGTGAGCCACATCCCGTGTAGCCAGAGTAACATACCATCGTGCCATGTCTGCCCCGTAAAAACTTCTTCATCTTCTGATATTTCGGCTCCCTGATCATCTGAGAGGTCATCTTCATCTAAAAAGTCTCTTAAACCTTGCACGATCATTGCCTTCGTGACTGAGTAGTTGTCAATGTTGTCTGCTGAGTCACCCGGCTCAAAATTGGGAGTGCTAGCCATGTCATCGAGAAGACAACGTAGCTCGATGATGGAGTTAGATTGAGCTTCAGGTACCATTGAACCATTCCTGTGATGCTGCTGCCTTCTCGAATGATATTTGACTGCATCTTGATGTGACCAGGTCCTCTCATGCTTCTGCACTGCTCGCCGATCATGGGGCTTATTGTCCTGACAAAGGTTGCAGACCCATTTGTTCACCTCAGCAGGTGTCCAAACTAGCAAAAATTAGATTCTAGCTATTAGTTGTGAGCTTATCTATTAGATCACATCGTACCATCAAGGTGGGAGAATTCTCCATCAGGCATAGTAGGTTGAGCAATGGGCCTGTTGATGAAGTGATTATTGCACTGAGGATAAGCAGAACAACCGTGCAAGGATATCTGTAAGACACCCTACATATAAAGTACTTACAAGGCAGAACTGTAGAACGATATTGTTTCCAGTATGTGCTGCTTTCGGCCAGTAGTGGGGTGACTAAATGAGGCTGTTGATCCAATGATTATTGTGCTGAGAGTGTATGGAGAGACTGCCAAAGGATAACTCAAGGACGCCCTCCGCAGATAGTACCTATGGGGTGCAGCCCTTGTTTGGCGTTGTTCCCAGGATAAATCACTTATGGCCGAATAGACCAAACAGTTTGAACCTCAGGTTAAACTCGCAATGAGCCTGAGGCCCAACGCTCGGCGGCTGCCGGACAACTCAACATTAGCATTTCGTTCTTGTTTATACTTAACCGACAGATCTTGTCATAACTCAGTACTCAGTCTTTATTCAAAACGGAATGGCGCACAAAATTTATATATATACTGAGCGCCAAAAGGACCAGTTTAACCACAGGTTCAACTAACTTCTTACTGTGTAGTGTTGTATTCCAGTATATGCATGCACTAACAAGATCAAAATTGTGCGGGGTATTGTAAAACAGCAACACCACGAACTACATTCACATGTTGTGCATTCGAACTCTGTCAGAAGGTATTTCAAAGTCCGGCTTATGTCAAGGTTTCATCATGTTCTCTTTTATCCCTTTACCATAATGTTATCTCGATATCTAATACATTGCTGTCCCTCCAGCTCCAAAAAATGTGCTTTGATAGACACACATCCTCAATAATCTTACCACCGCCGGTAGGCAGAAGAAGATCAGGTAAGTTTCATATTCATAGGCTCACCCCTATCACGCGACTCAAGGTTGAGTGACGTGTTATTGGCGGCTGGGCGCAAAGCGGTCCTGGCATAGAATCCATTGGCCAACATGTCACTTGTATTTCGTTATGGGATGCCTGGTTTTCATGCAACTCTTGATAAGATGTTGTAGGTGGACTTAAAACTGCGGTAAGTTTTTGCATATATGCGCATATACTCTATGTATTTGCACCAAACTAATGACTACAAACAACCAGATTAGCAGCGCCATGAGGTCACAATGATCTGATGACTTCACATCCCTCGAACACCCAATGCTCAAGTATATTTTGACGAACCGCAACAGCGATACCCTGCAGCCTATCATACCAAAGTCATCATGTAAGTCATCCAACACTCATGGTTTTGCATGTCTCTCTGCTGGTGATATCCAGGTTGAAGAATCTACTAATGAAGCAGGTGGTGCTGATATCCCAGATGCAGACGCTCCCATGCCTTGTTGGGGTAAAAAGGCTGCCTAGGTATTTTAAATCCTGGTCTGTTTGCCTATTCTGATTATTGGTTTTAGTCACACAGATTTCAACGCTGTCACTCGCTGCATTACACTCGATTCGTGCCCATGCTATATATTACTCTTGCACTCACGACTCCATTTGCGCTTACAATGTCTCGCACTTGATGTCTCTCATATACTATTGTCACACCCTTGATCCTACTTTCGGATGGCGTCGGACTCGCATAGACACCTGTGTAGTTTTGCTACTTGCATTGCTTTGTATTGTACGATCATGAAATCCACCGCATTCCATTTATTGCATTGCAGTGTGCTATCTGTCTGGTATGAGTCATGTAAGCTATGAACAGCCTGCTTGGGACTGGTAAGGCTGGATCAACATTGCAAGGCGTCTCAAGACTTGTTAAAATACACGATCCTGATGGCTTTTGACCAGCCTGGTACCCATCTGACATGACGGAGAGGTTGTCTGCAAGCCGTGTTCAGTCTTGGCGAAGTTAGTCAGACTGGGGGTATCTTGCCAAGCCTGGGAAGGGCTTACCAGGCTGCACCACTTTTGCTGATGACTGAGCACAAGGACGGTGACGCTAAACTCTGATGTTCAACAGTGAACACCTCACTGATGCTGATTATAACTCGTATTGGAACAGGGTCATACATAGCTGGCTACTTACATGCCAGAATAGATGAATCATTTATTAGAAGAATTTGTATTTGGTTTTTGCGTCTGAGCTTCATCTTGCTCATCAGCAAACTACTAATTTGGCGACAGATTTCACACGAGTCACAAGCACACACAGATCCGCACAAGGTCCTACAAGGTCCACAGACATCACAAGCATTACAGAATAGCAATAGACATTTTAACAATTTGAATTGTAGCACAACAGGAGTAGTAAAAAATCACAACAGTATATACTAGTATGCCGTACATAAATCAAGTACTACATACTATGTATGAGGCATGTATCAATAATCATCAAAACAACTTCGATATACTAGTACGGTATTGTTAAACTAATGGCGCACTGTATCACCTCGAGAACTCGAACCAATGAATGTTGCAATACCACTTTTTTTCCTCTCTACATGAATGCGCCCTACGTTGAGGTTGGCCGTTAACAGACGCATATTTGCGACTTCAACACAACGGTGGTGGAGGTCCATAAGCACCATATGGTGCTTTAAGATGCAATCAGCCAGGGCTTTTTGAGCCTGACAAACCTTGCGTCTCGTTCTAGCTGCCTCGAGGGCCAGGTCGGAGTAGTCTTCCTCTTGTTCTGCTTGGTAGTAGAGTGAGGTGCAATCAAATTCCTGTCGATGGCAAATAAGAAGTGCAGAGGAACTCAGAACACTGCATAACTCACAAGGTGCACCCCTCCTGGAAAACTGTCCTCTTCTTTAATTAAGCACGCCGATTGGGATGATGAATGATTTGATTGTTCGCATCGTCGGTTGTGATGACATGTGCACAGGCAGCAGTGGTGCCTTGGAAAGTGATTCAGATTAGAATATAACGAGCATACCGATCGAGAAGAAGGTGTAAAATGGCGAGAACTTGAAAGAGAAGAGTTTCTAGAATGATAAGAGGTTGTAGAATAATGAGCAGGAGACAAGGCTAGAGGCTCCATATGATGAATGATGAACGTTAGCTAATAACTTGAATGTGTGAGGGAATTAGACTAGCGTGTGACAAACGTAATAAACATACCAATGACAATACCATCATGTCCAAAATGCGGAAAAATCTTCACGAAGGAGTCCAGCGTGACTCGCCACCTTAGCCAGCCCCGAACCTCATGCCATAGTTCTATTCGCGATATGGTCGACATTTCGCAGTTCGTAGAGTTGGTTGAACCACACCGGCGACACCTGTTCGTGGCAGGGTAATGCATAACCATGGGTGATTAGAGATGTGACGGTTATGCATGGATGATGCTCATCCCGTGATGTTATGCATAATGCCCTCGAGGCAAGTGTCCTGCGACATTATGCATAACACCCTTGAGGCCTAACTAAGTGTTCTTCCATTCTAAGTTTATGATAGATCTCATCAACACTGTCCAAGATCTGTGATCTCGGGTAACTCGTGTTACAGGTCGCAGCTCCTGTTCTTTTGTTCGGTCCCTTAATAGAGAGAAATACCTGTTCTGGTCTGACATATCCCTAGATAGATTTTTTGAAAAAACGCATATTTACACATTATAAAGCGGTAGTACGAGCGGTACGTGTATCGACAACGCTTAGAGGACCTTCTGTCACTGTCACCGTAGTGGTGGGGGCCACGAACACGCCCCACATGCTCGTGAACGCGTCTCGTATGTTTCTTCGAAGCACTGCTTGGCGTCTCGCGTACCCATTGATGCCTTCCGCTTCAGCAGCAGGCAATCCAACTCTCCGGTCTGCTTGCTCGTCCCACCATGTAGCATGCCAGGATAGAAATACCCTGACACGCCGCATTTCCTCTAACAACAACTCGACCTCCTCCGTCCAGCGATTTGCGCGTGCCCTTGCTTTGCACCATTCAATTTGTAATGCTACTGAAGCATCTCAGATCTATTTGAATCATGATGGAGAGAACTGCTCACCATCCGTAAGAACATCTCCTGCAGTAGAGACACCACGCATCTTCCAGATCCAAGAGAGAGTACGATTTCCCTCTGATTGCCCTACCTCGCCTTCTGACATACTATGAATGTGTGACACCTCCAGTACCAGAAAGACATCCTGCCAGTCATGCTCTCCAAGTGTCTGATGCAGATTTTGGAGTGCGTTCCTTGCTCTGCGATACTGGTCTGCGGCTTCTAAAATGTGGCGCTCAACATTCCCGATTACAGCGGCAGCACGTGTGTTGGCTCATTGACCACGAATATTTGTGTCCTTGAATTTGTACAGGTGAGTCCGTAAGAGAAGATGGCGGCGAAGGTCGTCAAGTGCATCAAATGATTGTCCTCGACGTAGCTCCCATTCAAAACGACAGAGCCGTTCATCGCATATGGTGTCTCGGGTGTGCTCCTTCAACTTGGATGGCAGCAACAGATCGATCTCATGGGCTTTTTCCTCCGTTGAAGTCCCTGCACTGGAACTGCGGGTGGTTCGAACACGGGATGCCGAGGGCATATACAAAAGTTGAACTTGGCACCATTGCTCAATCTTGCGCTGCAGAGCATTTGTCCGATCTTGTATCTTTGAGCGCTGGAGATCGGTTGAGTGTGCACCAAGGGCTGAAATGTCCCATCTAAGCCGATATCTGAATATTGTTAATTCTTTGTGAATCCAAGAGTAGCTAAACTTACTGCTCTTCTTCCATGCCAATGCCCATAGAAATGAGAACAATGGGCAATATCTCACTATGAAGGGAATAGTCGACACCACGCTCGAGGTCTTCGGCTTCTTTCTGAGCAAGACGTAGCCTGACGGATGCCTGTGTCATAGCTGAATCAAAATTGTCAGTCAAATATGCAAACTCAAAACACTGGCTCACTCGTTGTGGTTGCACCAAAGGGGTTGGTACTAGTAGATGTGTCCGTCTCCCACCTTTCAATAGCAATCTTCCATTGTGATACTTCTTCTGGCCGTTCTGCGACAAGGGTATCATTGAACTCGCGAAAATCGCGTGTGTGCTGGTCACGTTCTGGTATAGCTGCCTTGATTTTTTGCAAGAGACTAACACCTATTAAATCATTGCCATAATCAAATAGTGCTCACATCTTATGTAGACTAAACACTACTCACCCAGATTGGTAACTTTCTTCCAATTGAAGTCACCAAAGTGGTCGTCGAGGGTATCGCGTCTAGCGCCTGGACCCATTTTGCGTGTGCTTGTAGCTATTGGGTTGATGTTAGCCCAGCCACGCTCAGGAGCTTCGCCATCAGTCCGGCCCATGCCCCTTAGGAGATTGTGCGAATAAGTAATTTGACATGCCAGTATATGTGCAGGAAGATGGAACTTCGGGACAAGGAACGTGACGAATTTGTTGGCGCAATCGACATGAATACGATCTGGGTACTTGACTATTCGTTCTCGGAGATTCTTACTCCACTGGCAAGCAATATCGTATGAGATGTTGAGAACAATGAGGTCCTTTGCAAACTGCATGGTAGAACAAAATAGATAATCCATATTCACGTATCTACGAATGTGTCAGACTTGGACAAAATGTGGCAAAAGAGCTCAGGTACGTACTTTTCCCCCTTCTGAAGGTCTCCAACAGTGCATGGTCGTTTAAAGTTATGGCACGAGCAATCCACAGTCCCGGCACCTGTCGCTGCAAGACCGCGGGAGTTCTTTGTCTCAGCTAGGTTGACAGCATTGTGACTTGCACATGTGCTTTTCTACTTGAAATTAGTACTTAAATTTGCAGCAAGTACAAAGAAACTAGCGGTACATACCTCTTGCGGTTGCTTGCCAACTTCGTGGAGGAAGCCCTTGTATCCCTTTTCCTCAATGAAATATGACCACCCATTGCTCAGACCAGGATCAGCTATATCTGACGAAACATTCTTCTGCGCCAACCGAAAGTTGGCATCAATCGCAACAAATAGTCCATAAAGCCACCTATTGACACAGAACTAAGTAACATAGCATACAATGAGAGAATTTAACAAACTGTTTGTCAGGACTTGCATTCTCCCAGCCCTGCGGTAAATTTTTACCTGGCTGGGGACAAGCAGGACAAAGGACCGCGCAGGAACCAGGTTGAGACCTTCAGGATCATGCCCACGGCCGAATCGTTTGAGTAAGGTCAAGTTTCGCCATTCTTTGATCATCCGAAGTAGTGCTTCGTAGCGATCCTGTACACGAGTGAGATTTGCAGTCCTGGCCAAGATAAGTATGTGTACTCACCTTAGGAGGATCGATACCAGAGTTGTCAGACAGCCGTGACAGTGTTTGCCAATACTCAAAGGCCGATGCCTTTGATTCAAATGAGAGAATATGAAAGTGGTGAAGGAGCCGAAAAGTCGCGGCTGTTTTCACCCACATTCAAGAACCGGACACCATGATCTGGCCGATACAGTAGGAAGAAGTTGGGATGTTATGAAGAGCTGCTAAACGCAATGTACGTGTATCAGTACTTCAGTTTTCAGTCTTAATCATTATGTATTGCTATTAACTATTGTGTTTAGACCCTGCAGTGCCAAGGTGATTCTGTACCATTGTGCACAGCGGTGTTTTTCTGGGGTTCCCAGGACGAAGGTATATATGTTATGTATGGGTAAGTCTCTCGTTACATCTCCAGCACTACTACTACTAACATGAACCGTTGTGGACGTCGTCGACAGAATGCTAAAATCCCCCAGGTTGAAGCTGCTCCTATGCCTGTGACTGCACCTGTCTCTCCTGCTCTTGTCGCTCCCACACCTATCGTTCCTGCTCCTACTCATGTTGCTCCTGCTCCTACTCCTGTTGCTCCCATTCCCATGCCTAACGCTCCTGCTCCCACTGCAGCTGCTGCGATCACTACTGCGCTTCACCGCCCTAGGAGACAATGACAGCTGCCTCAGAGATATAGGCAGGATGATGCAGCTGCCCATCCGGATGATGGCGAGTGGATTGACATCAACAACGTTGGCAGCAGTGAAGACAACGACGACCCACCTCAAGTTGTAGCCGCCACACACACACAGAGCCCGAGCCCACTACAGACGACAACTCGGACGACAACCAGCACTCTCCACACCAATCCTTTTGCTACGAGAAAAAGAGGCCTCAAGACTACTTCTGATATCCAGTTCTTCTTTAGGAAGAACTCAGACACCGGCGAGCGCATTTGTGTACCATGCGAGTGAGTAACATGTCTGGGAGTCTCTTCTACTCTTCTCACCCCTTTACTAGGGATTCAAATAAGATAGACTCTTCCTATCCCCTCACCATCTACGGTCCGTCCACGAGCAATACCCCTCTCCATTCACACATTCATAAAGTTCATATCGACCTTTACCTCGAGGAATCCGAGAAGCAGCAATGGCCAATCGGCATCCATCCTGTAAGTGACCGCCTTAATAAAGGCTGGACCTTCAGCGAGATGTGGAAACAACTCCAAAATCCCACTTGCACGATTGAGACACTTGGCCCTCCCCCCAATCCCAAACATGGCGGTTCAAGGCCCAGTGTTGGGAAGTCAGCATCTTCGGATTATCACTTATCAGACTTCTCTATCGAGGAGATGCATCGACAGATCATGAAGTTTATTGTAGCTGACGACCAAGTAAGTACTGTTCATTTTTTATGTGTTCTCGCTAACCATTGTCTCTAGGCAATCAGTGTCGTCGAATGTCCAGAGTTTCGTCGACTGCTCTGCCTCTTGTGGCAGGACCTAAAGGATTCTGATATCCCCCATCGTTCAAAGCTTCGGCAACTAATCATCGATGCATGGGATGAAATACTTTGCAGCCATCAAACTTGACCTCGCTGTGAGTGTTTAACTATCTATTGCATACAGTATCTTCATATCTTGCAGACCGCCCAAGGATGAATTTCGTTCACATCCGATATTTGGTCCGATTCTAAGCTCCGTCCCTTTCTTGCTGTAACCGCACATTGGATTGCGAAAGAACGCGAAGCCACACTTGTTTTGAAGGCTGCTCTAATAGCCTTTCATCACATTCCTGGTAGCCATACAGGAAAGGCACTCGCTTCAAAAGTATTGGAGCTCATTGATCGCGCTGAAGTGAAACATAATGTTAGTATTTCATTGTACTCTGTCGCATGCTCTGACTTTGTCTAGATTGGACACTTCACCCTGGACAATGCCAGTAATAACCGGACCGCAATGGACGAGCTCTCGCAGCTGTTACAAAATGATGGGATCGAATTTGATGCTCTTAATCGCTGAATCCCATGTTTTCCGCATATAGTGAACATATGCGTCCAACATATCCTCGACGAACATTCTAAGGTAGATTTCTCACATTTGGCTGACACTTTTGTAGCTGGCCCTTACACTTTCAAGAAAGTCGAGTACGTCAAGGCTCTGCAAAGTGATGTTATCACTCGGGCCAGAGATGTTGTCCGCGTGATCCGCTCATCAGGCCAGCGTCGTGACAGTTTTCGAGCTGCCATTACTTCTGGCAATGCAGAGGGATGGTTCGTAAACGACAATGGCGAGCGTATGGCCCTGCCGATAGTCGAATTGCTATGTGACGAGCCCACTCATTGGGATTCAACATACATCATGTTCAATCGTTTGAGGATCCTACGGCAGGTAAGTCTCATATCATTAGACTCTTCACACAGCTTAACTCTTGCCCAGGCCATTGACCATTAGATTGATCTCCCTGCTCAACGCAGCATAGCTCGCTATAAATTGAGCCCTATGGATTGGCAAGTCCTTCAGGATCTTGAGGTTATTCTAGAAGTATGTTTTCATATGTCCAAAACTTCTAACGTATTCACTATTCTACATTAGGCACCGCACCACGCCCAACAATGCATGTCCGGCAAAACCAGTCCTCTTCTGAGTAGCACTGTTCCGGCCTTCGAAGGGTTGATTCAATGGTGGAAGCTTGTGGGAGACCTTGTCCCACATTGTGCACCTTTTGTCGCTATAGGTTTAACGTGGGCAGCCAAGTACGATGACCGGATGAGCCTAACAGGAGCATATGCTGTTGCAATGTGTGAGTCTTTTCGATGCTTCGATAAGGATAAATTCTCATCATTGTGTATAGTTGTTGACCCCACAAGACGTCTGTCATGGATAAATGAACATTGGTCAGTGCCTGCAAATTACACAGGCGAAAAACTATATTCTCCAACTGGTACGTCTGCCAGATAATAATAACAGCCAAACTTTGGATTGATATGTCCCACAGATGTGGAGCAAGAGAACAACAGATGTCTCCGCGCAATCTGATGAATCGACTCGTCAGCCACGCCCTGCAACTCTAGGCTCGACGATTTATGGACTTCCTGAGTTGGACTTACTGCCGCGTCACCAGGGCGGCCCTCAATCAGTCGAAGACGAGTTCAATGCTTATGGCACAGGTGTTCTTAGTCCCAGAGGGACAGATCTTCTATCTTTTTGGACGGTAAGAGTCTATTACAGGATTTGTTGATGATGAGGTACTGATCGTAGACTAGGTTTCGAAATCAATCTTTCCAACACTCTATAAAATCGCCATGGACTTTCTCCCGATCCAAGCCTCTGCCGTTCTGTGCGAGCGCATATTTTCCTCCAGCAGTGATACATTCACCAAGAAACGCAATCACATTAGTCCTTACTTGATGGAGGCCTTACAAATGACCAAGTTCGCACTGAAAAAAGAGCGACTCCACTTCACGAAGGGCTGGTCAGCATCCCAAAAGGATATGGAGTATGACTTGATGTGTGTCGTGGGCTCAGCAAGCCATGAAGATCTCTTGGCATCTGGCTGTGGTGACGTACTGATATCTGCCATCAGCGCAACAACTTCTGGCAGTCGCGATTATGAGGCCCTTCTCAGAGTCATTGCAGAGGACGAATGCGATGATGTTCCAGATGATATCACAACAACGTCTACATGTGTCTCTTAATTTTTTTCTTTACTGCTACCTTTTCTATTTCTATGTTCTTGCTCATACTGCTGCTACTACTTTTGTCATTAATGACCTTGACTATCAATTGATTTTTCTTTTTGACGGATGTCTCACCCTAACTAATATCTGAACTAGGCATCAGCACTGACTGCGACAATGGCTTTATGCCATGGTCATTGCCCACCATTCATGGTATGTGAGTGCTTTGATCTTCCTTCAAGCTCGGCCCACTGATCGAAGTTTGCAGGGAGTGAGTGTGTCGATCCTCGTTTGAGCAACAACCATGCTGATCCAAGTCGTTGCCCACCGTTCGCAGCCAGTGAGTGTGTCGATCCTCGTTCGACAACAGCCATGCTGATCCAAGTCATTGCCCACCGTTCGCAGCATGTGAATGTGTCGATCCTCGTTCGACTAGCAGTCTCCTTGAGGAAGGAACATCTGCGCGATCTACGACGACGTCGATTATCGTTCGAGCTCGGACCACGCTGATCCAAGCTCGTTGCTTACCGTTCGCAGAGTGAGTCCGTCATTTCTCGTTCAAGTTCGGACCATGCTGATCTCAAGTCATTGCCCACTGTTCGATCATCGCCGATAACGACACTTGTGCACATTTCGATCAAGAAGACTATTCTATTCACAAACGTTCACAACCCATACCTCTCTTCAATCTCAACACTAATCCCTGCCCCCACGACCGCGACCTAGAAGTCACCTCAGGTAACGTCCCCACCTGGATCTCCGAGTTGTCTGAACGGTCCTTTCCCCTCCTCCTTGGATTTCAACAGCTCTCTCGACTCCCTGCTGCCTTTCAACTCCCCGCTGCCTTTCAATGGGTCTCTCCATGTTTTGCGCTGATGTGCGCTGCTCTCGCAACCTTCTTGTGCAAGTCGCAGTACTGTATAACTAGTGATTTATTTCAGTTTTTGATTAAACATTATCAGTAATTACTTACTTTGTCTTGCGGACCCATTGATATCAATAAAGTTATTGTAAAATGTAGAGTGCGTTTGAGTGCGTTTGTGAATTGATGTGATCGACAATCTGCTCTGAGTTCTCGTCGCAGTTCTCGATGACTGGAGTCCTAAATTATCAATCTATTTTTGGCTTATGTAATTTTAGAATATATCATTAATAGAGTTGGTTTTAAGCCCTTAAGTCGACTTAGCTGTAACTACTCGAGCCAGGCCGAACCGTAATTACACAAGCCGTAACCACTTGTCAACTCAGCTATTTTTAGCTCGGGCCGCGGCTAGAACCGGCAACAAGCCGGAGCCGCGGCAACACTACTTGGTAGATAATCACTTATAGGAATTTCCGCATCTCTCCAAAATTATGATCTATCACTGTATGCGCTCGGCTTCCTGTTGGCCATTTGCAATTGGATGCAGTCAGCTACAGTATCTTTGTAATATTTGTGCAGTATTGTCGTTGCTCACAGTTGTGATGAGTCTATGGAGATACATTATCAAGAGTTATAATATTCTCGCAATATTTACGTAGTATGGTCTTGATCTCAGTTATGATGTGTCCAGGAAAATGGATTGTCAGAAGTTGCAATATTCTCATAAAATTTATGCAGTAAGTTATGATATTGTACCATCAGATACTAGATAACCCTTCAATAGCTAAAAGAGATGTACAGTTGTGATGAATCTGATGCGATCGGCTAGGTAAATACACAGAAATCAGGGAAGTGGCACTCCTCAGCTCTATAGTACAGTCACACGCAGCAGGTAACATGAAGGGCATTGCAGTGAGTCATGGGGAGAGCGGAGATGAGTATGTGCACATGAACACTCGCTTTCTCGTCGAATTGCTCGGTGGACTCTCTCGAGCTCAAGTAGCTCGAGAGTCACGCTCCTCCTATCCTGTGCATCAGCAAACTAGGGGGTACCTGTACAAGGTTGTACAAGACTGTACAAGACTGTACAGACTTCACAGGCACACAAGGAAGTCCCCTCTTTACAGTCCTGTCACAAGGTATCACAAGAGTTACAAGAGTTACAAGCATTACAAGCATTACAAGTGATACAAGCGTTACAAGTGATACAAGTGTTACAAGTGATACAAGTGTTACAAGAGTTACAAGCCATACAAGCCATACAGGCATTACAATATAGACAAACAGAACACACTGTGCAGATAAGACATATTTTGCAGATGAAACACATCATGCAGGCTGTAGGGCACCATACAAGGGAGCATAAACTGTGGTGATTGTCGTAGATCATAAAACATGAGCAGTACTACTAGTACCAGATTATAAAATGATATTGACATCCTCAAAATCACTGCCTGCACTCGCATCGCCATGAACAAACTCACCCATCCCAATCATGGCCCACTGCGCCAGCATATCTTCGAGCTCTTCATGACGTTCGGGAATATCCATCAGCTTGTCCACAGACCTCCGCAACAAGTTGAAATCGCTCCTACATTTATCAGCAGAGAGGTCGGGTAATTTGTCAGTACCAGTTTCGGAAAATCCAGAGAGGACGCCCTTCATCTATTAACTGATTAGCGACGAAAAATAAAAATAAATCACGGTGCACCACAGTGGCAATGAGAATAAGCCCGTTCTGAGGAATTGTGTGGCGAAATTCGTCCGTGTTCTTCAGTGCCTTCTTGCTACTGCTATAGTAAAATGCCAGGCAACCATCCATGAGAGCCTGTGACACAAAATTTTTCCATTCGCCCTAGAGAAATAAACAGTGAGTGGTCGCATTGCGAGTAGTGATCACATACATTAGACGAGTCGGGAATACGAAGATAATCACTGGTCTTGAGGAGCTCGGTGGCAGCTGCGATGACGTGTTTCTGTATGTCCTCCTTGCGTGTGACTGTGCCCTTCGGGAAGATGTCATACGCCGATTTTGTGATGGGTATGATCACTTTCTTCAGTTCTGTACGGAATGTATACAAGTCGTCGCAGAGCTGATGATAAATATGAAAAAGTAAGTGCACTGGTCATCAATTAACAATATACTTACCATTCGGGACATTTGTGCTTTGTACTGCGGGAAATAACCTTGTAAACAATGAGATTCAGGTCTGGTGGCGCAATAAACACTTACCTTTATCCATTTTGATCTTCTTCTCATGATAAGGTAGACGACATCCAAATCCAGCCACATTTTGTATCACCTCCGCGTACAGGTTATTTCACAAACATACTGCACATTAGAGCCTATTAGCATGCAAGAATGCATTCCAGATACCTTTGGCTACAATATGATGGGAAATTTTTTTATTTCCTGTGATGTTATTTCGACTTTTATGAAAAGTGTCCAAAACACCTTGAATAGTCTTCAGACACAGACTGATGAGAGAACATAAATTTGACGTCGAGAATTTGGCCATGTCACATGATATATAATCTTACATAATCCACTAAAAATGCAAAGCAAAGTCTACCAGGAGATTGGCTCACAAATCTCAATAAGCCAGCTATGGGTCACAGAAAGACCTGCATTAAAAATAGGCTCAAGAACCTGCATAAAAATCCCCCTAAAGTCAAGTCCCAAGCACCAGAACTCGTCAAGCTGTATCGCTCGGGTCCTCGGGTCCACAAGATGGAAGATATGGAAAAGCATGTCAGTGCATGTCTTGATGATATTCCGTTATTGCAGATCCGAAGGTAAGCTTGAAACAATCTTCAGCCAAACAACCACATCTAACGGCGCTGTCTCCAGGTATGCAAATCGTTCCGCAAGGTTCATGGATGCATATACCAAGGGTCTTACAGGGCCACAAGCAGTTTGGGCGACGAGGAAATATCACAGACATCGAGTCGTTCCGAATTCTATTTTGGAGGCTTTAGACACAGCGGGAAAGATATGATTGACTACAGCGTATATGATTTTGACAAGGCAATGGCGAAAGAAAAGATCGCAACTGGCAGATTTGGCCGTGGGAAACATGACATAAGCAATGCAGCGCAGTGGTTGAATCAAAATGTCGTCTACCTTACCTCCAGAGTTCAGCATCCAAGACTTCTTGTGCAAGTTGTAGAGCGTCTCCGTGTTCTGGAATAGGATGTGACAGGACAGCTTGGAGACGCATTTCCACCTTTGCTGCCTGCAAAAATGCTTGCCAGGAAGGTGGATAGAAGCCGAGCTTCGTGGGGTCCTCTTGAGTTGGTTTGATCTTTTGTTCCCTAATGGTCTTGCTGCTGCATGAATCTGGCTCGGGTGTGGTACTAGAAGAGCGACCACGAAGAGTGGGTGATGTTGCGCAATCAGATGGAGAAGTGTCCTTGGGAAAGGACTGTGATGAAGAGTGTACCTGGGAGGAGGGCCATATGCGATTTGAGGACTGGGTTGCCCGAGATGGAGAACGCCGAAGAGGAGACTGTATGCGGGAGGAAGAAGCGCGCACAGACGGTCGATGTCCGTATTGATGAGCTGATGGAGAGCGTGAACGTGGAGATCTTGTGCGTCGACGTGGAGATCTTGTACGCCTATGAGACCTTGAACGAATGGAAGAAGTATGTGAGTGACACGGGGGTGAGTACCTACACTGCACTTGAGCAGGAGAAGCGCGTCGAGGTGAGGGTCGACGAGGTGACTTCGAGCAGTGGGGACGTTGACTATATTTCATTCTCAAGAGGGAAGCCTGCGAAGGAGCCTTGCGCCGTCCATTCTTCGCCTGATGAAGCTCGAGGACATCAATAACACCCTAAAAAAATGTGACTAGGCGAACATTATGAAAACTTTATACACCTTCCTGTGACTCCTGTCGAGCTGCATTGTTGAGCTCGTCATCGATACCTTGATCAAAATCATGCATTCCACCTTCAAGATCATCGTCAAAACCATCCACTTGGTTCCTTTGCTGACCCGTGGATTGATTCTGGTCCCTGCGACGGGAATGAATGAAGGACGATGAAGGTAGAGAAGTAGAACACTTACATTTGACTGTCTTCATCTTCCCTGGGATTATCATCTGGACCCTGGTTGCCGTTTTCGCTAGCACCGTCATATTCATCCCGATTGTTGTGTTGCAAGTTGAAATCCCTATCGTGCTCAGGCTGTAAGTCAGAATCCCCATCACGCTCAAAATCTCTGTCTTCTGCGATGTCTTGGTCTGCTACTTGGCGTGCCTTCGTACGGGTAGCACCAGTCTTCCGAGTACTGGACGTGGGCGGCTTGAACCCAAACCTCTCCAAAGCCTGAGTAGTGTGAAGGGTTGAGAAGTGCGAGAGGGCTGAGATCCTGGCCTAACTTGGTTGTTGGCTGTAATGGAATGCTGCTTAGGAAATGACATTAGCTTACAGCAGTTAGAAGAATGAGCCGTTACATTTTTCTTCGTTTTTCGAAGCTGTGACAGAGCCATAGGATTTTTTCTGCATCTGAACCGCTCATTTTAATAGTGGGCTCCACACGTCCTTTCCTTGTTGGGACTGCTAATGTTTCTCCAGTCTTTTTCAGTTGTGCTGCATGACCGCCAACACCTCACGTGCTTCTCTCGCTTCGTCGAGAGGGAGGTGCTGCTGAGGCAGAATGCTTGGCCCTCTTTCTTGGAGGCATCGGGCAAGCCGGATATGTATGTAATACTACTGGGATCTAGCGCTTTAGTAGTCGTAGATTACATAAGCTACAAAGCGCAACAAAAGGTTATGATGAGGGAATGGCTAGTAAGGAGAAGAAAAGGAAATAGTACATAAATCCAGTACTACATATGGGCAAGGCATGTGTCAATAATCATCAAAAGAACAACATAGCTGAACTTGAAAAATCTAATAGTATCACCTCGAGAACTTGAACCAACGAATGTTGTCTATATGAATGCGCCCTACGTTGAGGTTGGCTGTTAATAGATGAATATTTGCGACTTCAACGCGATGGTGGTGGAGGTACATAAGCACTATATGGTGCTCTAAGATGCAATCGGCCAAGGGACATGGCAGATAAAAATATTCAGCGAGACTTCTTGGGATTCCGGGTGAAACAACGCAGTGGAAGTTTCGAAGGTCCTGCCTCGGGAATTGGAGGATGAACTATGGAAGCAGACCCTGCTGAGGGGTTAGTAGTAGGTGCGATTTCAACATAGGTGTTGATAAACGGGGTCAAAATCTCGAGAACCTTCTCATGAGTGGTCTCTATTCTCTCTCTCTCGTCGGGCTTGTTCGCGAGGCAAACCAAAGTCTGCCATTGTTGGACGAGAGGCCTAAACACTGCGAAGTAATCCGAGGTCATCTTCACCATAAAATTTGGGTCCAGGACGACCCCCACTTTCACAAAACAGCAGGTACCCAGAAGCCCTCTGAGATCGGCCTTGCCCAAGGCCTCATAGGCGCTTGCCCATGGCAGCGAGTCTCGAGTCCAGGATGGTGACAATTCACCGCGCGGCCCCCCATACTTCGCAACAAACTCGAAAAATATATAAAACAATGACTCCAGGTCATCAGAAGGCTTGTGTTCAATCAGCCATTGAACATCATTGGCCAGGGCGACGTCCTCGCCCGGATTAATGTCGCCCAGGTTGGTGTTGGTGTCCAAGAAGGTCATGTTCATTATGCTCTGGAGAATACAGATGGAAATATATGGCATCGCACCCTGTAACAATAAAATTGACAGCACGCACAGCAAATTTCGGAAAAAAAACTTACAGTACCAGGTGAATAAGTGCTGGTCGTATTCACTGCCAAAATTGCAGCGTGGTCGAGGTCAATGAAGTAGCCAGTACCTTTATAGATAACAAAATTGTTGGGACTGAGGTCACTGTGTAGGACTCGTCTCTCAATCATTGCATGGTGAGCTAAAACAAATAATCATGAGCGTGTTTATGTTCTGCGCATTCGATATGACTCACCGATTACAAATTGACAAAAAGCTGTGATCAGCTCCCTTCTAGAGTTGAAATGAGAGAGAGGCTCTCCGCAAGGGCTCAAGAGAAGACACCGGTGAAATCTATTGCAGAATGCGGTGTCATCTCGTTGATCCTGGTTATATTCCTTGCGAATACGCGCTGTACAATCAGGCTGCCCCTCGTAATGGACATCCCAGTCGTCAATAAGTTCGACGACGTTAGGAATACCCTTGAGCATCCTCAGGACGGTTGGTTCATGCATTTTTTTCGACTCCTCCACCCAACAATCTTTCAGAGCATACTCTACTCCTTCCTTGTTTCTAACCCGATAGCAGATCATTCCTCTGCAGAAAAATCCATGACTCTTCCACAGCAGAGCCATGATTGAATAGACGTTGTGCTTGTTGTCTTGCACCCAGCCTATCACCCCATCTGCAAGATTGTCATGGGTGCCATTACACACAGCATGACACATGTGAATAGTGGGATCAAGGCCCAGGTGGCAGCTATCCAGAAGTGTGAGGGCAGCTAATGCATCACAGAGGCGTATAGAGCCGGGGCACTTGTGGATATAGAAAGGAAGGGATATGATGATGCCGGAGCGGTCGAAATAATGTCCACAGAGCATATTCGCGCTGATTGAGTAGGCAAGTACAAATCAACGCCATGGTTGCTCTCGCATGATTAGATATGCTTTGATTGCTACCCCCCAATATATTGGTAAGTCTCTATTCTTAGAAAGATCAGAAGAGGTATGCTCCATGAAGGTCAGGACATTTGCCCATGATTTCTGTTCCTTCAGGAGTGTGAAGTCGAACAGGGATAAATCGGGCTTCTGTGTGTTAAATTCATCTGGAATGGCAGTGGTAGAGAACTCTGCAGTCCAGTACTGGGCACCCATCGCAAATATGTAGGGGATTTCGTCCTTCAGCGTGTTGCGCAAGTGATACTGTATAGTACAAAAGAGACGCTGCAGGTCTGTCTCAGTGGTGTGCACCACCTGTTGTTGTTGTCTTTTCTTCAACCCGTCTTTAAATTCAAGGCCATCCCAACTCTCTTCAAATTCAACTAGTTGATCTCTGAGGATTGCCGATCCGAGTGAACCCTCATAATTGAGCTTTGCGCCACCACCATCATCTGCACCTGAGTCTTCGTCGTCCTCCGAGTCTATGTCCCCGTTGATCTCTGTGTCTGAGCCTTCATCGTCCTGCAGTACGTCAGTATCTGAATCAAGGTCTTCACTCCGTTTGACTCGTTTGCTGCGATTGAATGTCCATCCCTTGCTAGAGTATGCAGGTGGTCCACCAAATCTATTGTACTTGATTAGTTTAAGGCTCCCTGCCTTAATATTGGTTTGAGGAACGATTTGGTTGAAAATGGAGCGCTCGAAATCCAATCGAACTGCATTGCCAACACCTTCATGAATGACGTGGAATCCCATCTCACGCTTGAGGAGGGGTTTGACGGTGTCCAAGGTGCACGGAAATCCACCAACAGGGATGCCAATAGAGGTGATTCTATCACAGAGAAGCCGGTCAATGTCAACGAGGGATGAGACTGTGGTGTTTTCCAGCATTTTGTCGCCGTGACACCAACCAGAACTCAAGTTGGCTTACATTGGCCTCAATGCGGCGTTTGTTGCTTGGTGTTGATTCTCCTTCAATATCACGATGTGTATTGATTCAACATATACTGGTATGTACTGTCTATCCTTGCGAAGCATAGTAAAGAGTATCATAGATCTGCTTGTCAAAATACTTGTTCAAAAAAAAAGATGGAAGAATAATGTGATAAAGTCGCTTTCGTCAACCGTGCATCCGCTACTGCCCCAAATTGAGGAATGAGATTGATAAACGAACGAACTTGCCGGAGGGGAACTATGTCACCCACTGGAGTACCATTAGCATGCCTAGCACACTTCAAAACGTGCATCTCAGTAACAGGATCAACCGCACCAATCTTCATGTTGTGGACATAACATATGTACTGATCTCGCCATCCAATACGAGAACCTCGTCGAGGCATCGGGCGCATGATAACCTGCAATTCGCAGACAGTGTGTCCTGAGGGGGCCAATACACATAAGCCAACTTGATGAATAGAAAGAGGCTTACCCTTTAATCCAGACTGGGGCCATTCATACTGTCCATCAATATTGACAAGGACAGCATCCCGTCGGCCTTTCAACCACTCGGGGGATGAAGGAGAGGTGTGCAAGGTTTGCGCTGGTAAGGCAGCGCTCGAATCATGATATGAAACCTGTTGTAAGCGAACCGTGTGCCATACTTGAGCACGATCAAAGGGAAGAGTCAGAGGACGGTCAATAAGAGATCTTCTTGGAACTCCAACTCCATGAATTAGGTTTCGGTTCCTTGCATCACGTTGCAAGAAGTCAGAAAGAGCATGGTGGAGCCCTGGTATGTTGAAAGTGTCAGCGATGTCATCAAGTTTCATTCCAGTGCGGGTGGGATTGTAGTTCAGATGGATAGCAATGTTACCGGCAGTAAATGTCCGAGGCGGACCCGGGTAAGCGCTGGCTTGGTGCGACGCAGTAGCTATTTCCCTGGCCTTGTTGAAATAGTTAGTAGTAAGGCGCATGGAATTGAGCTCCTCCAAGAGCGCAGTTCGCGGATCAGTTGGTTCATCATCATCATGCGCAGTACCCTCTTCCTCATCCCCCTCATCCTCAGGTGATGTTTCAACAATATGATCGACAACGTGACTTTTTAACATCGTGGCAATGGCAAACCGCCGTAGCTTCTCCAATCAATCTAAATGACGACATATTTGCGGATCGTAGTCATTATTGTTGGTGTGTCATGCGGGGTCCTTGATTTTGGATATGTGAGAGTGTTCAGTGGCATCTGCAGACCATTGAATGGGAGCACCGACTTTGCGTGTACTAGCGGTAATGCTCTGCATCAGTGTTTAGGTATGAACCAATTGTCGATCAGTTTCTTTGCACCCATCCGCGCGCCCAATGTCATGATGACAGCTTTGTTTTGGTGGAATATCAAGAGCGATTGGTCGATAGATGTCAATAGGTTATTATCGGGGGAAGGGGATTGTGCCATGTATCGGACATCCATAAGGGCACGGATCATGATTACAAAACGACGAGGGGCTGCGCCGGCAATCAGACCAACGATGTAGCGCTGAACATCACAGTGAACTCTCCCCGTGACTTGCTTGAGATTTGAGATTCCACCAGGGAAATGGTGGTACCCTGTGATTGGCTGCAAAATCGCGAACCTAAAATTAAGTTCCAGCGCTCCAATGGCTGCAAGACACCAATGAAGATCATGATCCCAGAATGCTTTATGCCAGTGATGCAGGGGTTCTGTCGTTGAAAAGACTGAGGGATCGGCATGCGGCCAGGACATCCAGAAAGGCGCGTGAACACCGTTTAGCCTGTATTCGGCGCACACTTCAAAAAAAGCTTTGAGGTTATTGGGGTCGACCTTGATGCTCATGAGCTGGTCAAGCGTGACAGAGCGCGTACGCTTGGGATGACAAAAATCATCCCCAAACTCGAGATATGACGCCATGGAGAAGTTTTGCCACGCACACATGCAAGCATACATGCCTCGGGGGTATCAACAATATAGGCTGCAAGAGGCATATAACAATGATGAACATTGCCTACCGGATCTGACATCATGATCCCAATCTCGGCTGCTATCATCAATGGTCGTAAAACAATGGCAAGACATTCGTGTATAAGGCGATCTTCGAGCACGCCCCGCATCCGTTGATTTGGGTGCAAATACTGTGGGATGGGGAGGGGAGCCGTAAGTAGGAACACCCTAGACGAGAGTTTGGTGCAAGTGCACATGCGGATATTGGCAAGGCCTAGAAGAAGTGGATGAGCGACCCTGGCACCGGTCATAGTAGTGACATTTGTTTTGTCGGAAGATAGTACAGTCCCAAGGATTGTAGCGCCTCTAGGTAGTTGGCTCTGCACAGTCCAGGATGAGATGGTGCAAATTATAGAGTTTCGGATGCACATACCTGGATGTCCCAAGCAGAATCACCCATCAGCCACTCCGAATATACACGCAGAAGCTGCCCTGCAGCAGTGTAAACGCGACGAGGGACAAAGTCAAGCTTGTCATGGAAGAGGGGGTCACTGAACAGACTCTCTAAGCATTCAACAGGATCCCTCCAGAATAGTCGGATCGGGTGTTTCGTGCTGTGAAGCGAGGTAACAATTTGGCACTTCCAGCTCGGTCCCTTGGGGAGCATCTCAGCACGGCTTCGTAATTCTTTAGCGTTCTTAAAAGATAGGTTTAGTTCCCGAATCTGTAAAGGCAATCATCAATAAGAGGGTGAGGAGGAGAGAGGAGGAGAGAGGAGGAGAGGCTTCAATCGGATGGACTATGCACCAGCGCAGAAGATCACATACCATTGAGAGTGCCAAAAATTTATTGATTGCTGCCATGCTGAGCGAGGACTGAAGAAGAAAATCAGCAACTTCCCACTCATTCCTCGATGCAAAAGGGTAAAAAAGATTATCTTTCCTGCAATCCGCATACTCATCGGCGTCGAATAGATCCAGAAAGGTTGTGCCGTCCCGAGAGTAACAAGTCCCTGCGCCTTCATACCATTCCTCTGCACTTTGAAATTCCTCTCCCGCTACGTCAAAGTGGTCTCCACCGATGTCAACACTCATTCCATCTCCAGCATCAGGATACAAGACCCTGTCACAGTGGTCATCAGAAGGAAACTGAGGCGAAGGAGAATCAAGGGATCGCCAGCAGGCTATGCTGTCATAATTATGCATAAATAAGGATGGTAAGAGACTTTGTCGTTATGCATGGCTCATGCTAATCCCCAAATACTGTTGCTTTTATGCATAACGGTGCCTGTGATGCATAATGGTGTCGAGCACCTCCTGCCGGTTATCCGCACCTTAATTTGGTTATCCCGATCGTAAATCTACTCCTTTGTACCCATTCCTGGCCTCCCTTCCAGCTTCTTCCTAATTCGAGCCTTGTCCTGATCATAAATCTACTCCTTTGTATCTGTTCTGGCCTCCCTCCCAGCTTCTTCCTAATTCGAGCCTTATCCCGATCATAAATCTACTCCTTTGTACCCGTCCTGGCCTCCCTCCCAGCTTCTTCCTAATTTGAGCCTTGCTAGATCTCTATCCGGATCTCGTGCAGGAAATTTCACTAAGTCTTTCAACCGGGCATAATTTCTACTAAGTCCCTCAAGTGATAGACTAGCGTAGTCTTTTGGCATCTGTGACAGTGGTTCTAGTACACGTATCATGTCTGTTTTGCATTTACATGTACTAATGTACGATTTCTTATGCAATAAACAACTTGAACAACGACAAAAACATATATTTTGAAGGTCACAATAATATCTACTACATGCACGCAAGAAGGAACAAGGTATATATACTCGTTTTGCAAGAAACGACCTTCAGCAGTGCAACTATGCTACTTTCCTATGTATATGGGTGCATGAGCCAAGGTAAAGGCGGAGAAAACAAGACACTTACTTTTCTTAGGACGTTCGTTCTGGGACTCAGCGGGTCTTGGATGTTTGGGATTTTGGCCGATGCTGTTTGCCTGTGTGAATCGAGTCGTCTCCATTCAAACACGTCCAGTTTTCCTGATAGGCGGGGTACTGTTTGATTTGCTGGGTATTTCCGGGTCTGCGAGAACCTTTTGAACACGCTTGCCACTGGTGGGAGGGTTCTCTGTGCATGCCGAGGGAGGTTCGTCGCCTTCACTTACTATGGGTTCGGAGGAGGTAGTAATGTTCCTGCCTGAGTCGACTCAGATAGCTTCTAGTGCTGCAACAGCACCAACCGTTCCCACACCCACTGAGGTATCTATCCCGGACCCATTGGCACTCGCATCAACAGTGTTGTTACCTGCAACTGTGTGACTGGAGAGATTCCCAAATGGTGTTGGAGATGAAACAGGAGCTGATGCCGAAGAACCAGGCACCGGTGGTGGGACTGGGAGTGGAGGAAAAGAAAACATAGGTGGAGGGATGAACGGTGCTGGAGAAGACCTTCTGATGATGTCAGACAGGGAAGTTAAAGATGCAAAGTTTTCAGCTAAGAGCCGTGGACGAAAGCGAGGAGGAGAAGTATAAAGCATGTCCCTCTTCCATGCAGATATGGGCGAAATTGATGGTGAGTCTAAACAAGCAGGCAGGTTTGACGATGGCACTGATGTGTTCATGATGCCGGTTGTAGAGGGATTCTCAAAGTCTGACATTCCGAAGTCTCCCAAAGTGCCGAAATCATATCCATTGTTGAAGGAAATTAGCCCATCTGGATGCTGAGTCGGATACCAGGTATCAGCAGGAGGCTGGTGCATGTTTTCAACTGCAGAGATAGGTGCATGAGCTATAGGCGGCAGATGGGAGGGTGAAGACATCAACACCGAGTTTGATGGAAGGTTTTGGCCGGTATTAGAAGACTGCGACTCCCCAGCCACTAGGTTGGTGTCAGTTCCAAGAGTGGATGAGGGGGTAATGGGGACATAATCAATTGCGCGCATCTTCCTGACATGTTCTGCTTGATTGGGTAAGTCCAAAAATTTCATCAGAAGAGAAGAGAATAGCAACTTACGAAAAAGACTCGAAATGAAGGCAACATATGGCTTGATGTACTTGTCGTCGAAATCAGGAGTGGCTTGCCTCCAGTTTTGCCCGTACTCATTGATTCCTGTATGGTAACTTCAAAATGTCGACATGTCAGTAGGCAGTATATGCAATAGAAAATTCTATTCACCTCATCGCATTGATTTCACCATTATATCGAGGGTCAGGTCCAGCACCCAGAATAGTCCAATGGAAGCCAGTCATTTCATGGATAGCTTGCAAGAAGTGTGCGATGGGGCCGGTACATTCTTCAAGAGCCCTATTTGGTAACTGTGAGCCAATAGTTCTCGTACTGGTAGGTAAATGAGGTCAACAAACGTAGCTAGTTCCGAATTTGTCCTTTCTCGCGCTCTGGACTTGGCCTTGAGCAGTTCGCTGGCCTTTGTCTCACGTTCCTCCTGCACTTTTGCCAAGCATAGTGCTTTCACCTCAGGATTCACTGCCTCGTATGCCTCTCTTGTAAGTTTTTTCATGGTTGAAAGTCTATCACCCTTTGTAATAACAGAACCTGACGCGAGAGCCTCTTGTAGCTGATCTCGGACATCGGTCGCAAAACCTGATTTGGCAAAGATTTCTACAGGGCTGTGAATTCAGGTCCCCTTTGCCTTGTTTCCAATCATCTTATGAATAGATTTTGTCATTTTGTTGACTGAGGCGCGTCCGCTACGTTGTGATCTATAATTGAACCAGGTCCTGATTTGCTAAGTATATATGTTGTTGAATATATGATATATACATATGAGAGCTTGGTAGTACTCGCACCTGACGTCTCTTGTCTACAGCTTCCCCCAATAATTTTTTCTGTTCCTCTGCGTGCATTGACATGTCTGGGAGCATTGAATTAATTTCGGGCCACTTTTCGAACCAAGTGAGATAAACCCCCGGCCAGAAGGCCGACACAGTCCCTTGAGCCTGTGCTTTCAGAAAATCATTATACAAGCCTTGCAAATATTCCTTTTGCTCGGCAGTCACCCATTCTGTTCCTGCCATCTAATAGACATTGGCATGTCTTGATTAGTGACGTGTCATCCGATGGAAAAACATACTAACGCGATTGGTCTGTTTTTTGTCGTAACATGGGTTTTTGACGGAAATAAGGTTTTGCAATACTACGGCATCGGAGCCTGAACTCATTATCCTACACTGCCATAGCACGGACCTACACAGTCTGTGCTATGGCAGTGTAGGATAATGAGTTTAGGCTCTGATGCCGTAGTATTGCAAAACCTTATTTCATCATGCAGTGCGGACATTTGATATTTCCAAAGATCAAAACACAATCGACGTATTTGATATATGTACATGAGTGTATGTACACGAGCGTTAGTGTAGAACTTCGTCAAATTTTGATGCCCTTCTGGTACATAAGTTCTCCCATGGAGTGAGCCACTGCAAGGTTCCCAGCTCCATCAAATGTCAGAAGACTTAAGATATCCTCTAGATATGCGAGAATGGTTCTCAGGAAACGGGATGCCAAGTCAGTGGCTCACCACTCGTCGGATGTGATTCCACAGAAATATAGAATCTGATCTTGGATAGGAATTATGCGGTTGAGCAAGCCTTCAATTATCGCCATTGGTTTTTCGAGGATGCTGACATCACCTTTAATGCTGTCATCCAGGGTCTTAACATACTTGGTGAAGACACCTTGGACGAAGGCGCAAGGATCATCTGTCACCATCAACATCTCGTCCTTGATAACCTTGAGAGCGAACAAACATTGTGTAAGATCGGATCTGTTAGATATGAATGAATATATGACATATGTTTCTATTTATATAGCAAGAACACACAGGTTGATGTCTGTGTCAGGCTCGGACTCAGAATTCTCATTATTAGATTCAGACTCGGAGTCTTCATCACTGGCAGAGCCATGCAACACTTTGGATAGAGCTTTCAATAACTCTTGTGATTCCTTCATGTCACGCTTGGGGCTACGAAGTTCTCTGCGTCTTTTGAGAATTAGTTCTCTGTGGCTTTTGGGACAAGTGAGTCAGGAACGCTCGGAGATAATTCATATAAGGTGTGACATACTTAGCATAATAGCGCCGGCGTTTTTCACGAGCAGCGGTTAATTTTGCCTCAGGAGTGATGTGAATGGTTGGACGAGCCATAAGTGATGGTTTTCTGGAAAGGATTTTGGTTGGGTGGTACGTGGTCTTGGTTCAAAAGAAGTAGGGAAGTCGAATGTAACTAAAAGTCCTGCCAGTAGAACCAGTGGCCAGTTGGACCAAAACCCATGACTTGGTAGGACCAAAACCCACGCTCAAGTACTGCTACTGATACTCTAATATTACTATTGCGCACTAGTCACTCACTATGGGCAAGCACAAGCAAGAGCGCGACAAACTCACACAAGCATGGTCTGATCTCAACCAAGCGAATCATGCTGCCCGCCAACGAGCTTCACAACCACGACTGATCGAGGAGACGAACTCAGATACCCACCTTCTTTACCACAAAGTCCAGTCACACACAATCACAGGACCTGGTTGCATTGCAGTGCAAACCAATTATATATGCTCGCAAACAGATGCTAGCGTCCCTAGTGGCCTTCAAGTCCCGTCGCAAACACAAGAACCTGAATTCAGCTTGGACGACAACTTGGATGCTGCATATTCTGTTTACGACGATTACATAGCCGACACATCTTGTGAACCCAAAAAGCGAAAATGAACAGCTGGTGTAAGGTGTCGTATAGTATAAGGTTCGGTTACTGCACTAACACCATTTGCTAGGACAATCCTCTTGCACTTTGGGTTCCAGAACGCGAGAATTTTCTTCTTGAGCTTCTCCGATTGGATGGACGTGGCGACTACATTTTTCATCAAGTCTGTGAGGGCCACGATGGGTGCCAGGAATATCCGGAATACTGATGTCGGGATTGTTTTGGCACGGCTTTGTATTGCAAAGGATGTACACTGGCAAGACATTGAGAAAGTCCATTGCACAGACTTCAGGTCAGTTCTAAGTCGTGCATTCAGAGCCTTAATTTGCTTAAGGGATCCTACTATAGCATTGGGTTGATGGGCACTTCAAGGACACTAGCCTCAAAACCCTCGGTCTCAGAATACAGCTTGGTCATCGAGTCGGAGAGCGTTGTTACAACCCAATTTCGACAGTATTTTACAACGACTTCGTCATTCTTGATGTCAATGGTGTACATTCAGTCGCAGTAGACTTCTGTGGATGTGAGACAGCACAATCACTAACCACTCAACTCCTCCACATCCGGTGGTTTCCAGCAACATCCGTTAATCCCAAAACGGCCGTGACTTTTCGGCTCCTTCACCACTTTCATATTCTCTCATTTGAATCAAAGGCATCGGCCTTTGAGTATTGGCAAACACTGTCACGGCTGTCTGACAACTCTGGTACCGATCCTCCTAAGGTGAGTACACATACTTATCTTGGCCAGGACTGCAAATCTCACTCGTGTACAGGATCGCTACGAAGCACTACTTCGGATGATCAAAGAATGGCGAAACTTGACCTTACTCAAACGATTCGGCCGTGGGCATGATCCTGAAGGTCTCAACCTGGTTCCTGCGCGGTCCTTTGTCCTGCTTGTCCCCAGCCAGGTAAAAATTTACCGCAGGGCTGGGAGAATGCAAGTCCTGACAAACAGTTTGTTAAATTCTCTCATTGTATGCTATGTTACTTAGTTCTGTGTCAATAGGTGGCTTTATGGACTATTTGTTGCGATTGATGCCAACTTTCGGTTGGCGCAGAAGAATGTTTCGTCAGATATAGCTGATCCTGGTCTGAGCAATGGGTGGTCATATTTCATCGAGGAAAAGGGATACAAGGGCTTCCTCCACGAAGTTGGCAAGCAACCGCAAGAGGTATGTACCGCTAGTTTCTTTGTACTTGCTGCAAATTTAAGTACTAATTTCAAGTAGAAAAGCACATGTGCAAGTCACAATGCTGTCAACCTAGCTGAGACAAAGAACTCCCGCGGTCTTGCAGCGACAGGTGCCGGGACTGTGGATTGCTCGTGCCATAACTTTAAACGACCATGCACTGTTGGAGACCTTCAGAAGGGGGAAAAGTACGTACCTGAGCTCTTTTGCCACATTTTGTCCAAGTCTGACACATTCGTAGATACGTGAATATGGATTATCTATTTTGTTCTACCATGCAGTTTGCAAAGGACCTCATTGTTCTCAACATCTCATACGATATTGCTTGCCAGTGGAGTAAGAATCTCCGAGAACGAATAGTCAAGTACCCAGATCGTATTCATGTCGATTGCGCCAACAAATTCGTCACGTTCCTTGTCCCGAAGTTCCATCTTCCTGCACATATACTGGCATGTCAAATTACTTATTCGCACAATCTCCTAAGGGGCATGGGCCGGACTGATGGCGAAGCTCCTGAGCGTGGCTGGGCTAACATCAACCCAATAGCTACAAGCACACGCAAAATGGGTCCAGGCGCTAGACGCGATACCCTCGACGACCACTTTGGTGACTTCAATTGGAAGAAAGTTACCAATCTGGGTGAGTAGTGTTTAGTCTACATAAGATGTGAGCACTATTTGATTATGGCAATGATTTAATAGGTGTTAGTCTCTTGCAAAAAATCAAGGCAGCTATACCAGAACGTGACCAGCACACACGCGATTTTCGCGAGTTCAATGATACCCTTGTCGCAGAACGGCCAGAAGAAGTATCACAATGGAAGATTGCTATTGAAAGGTGGGAGACGGACACATCTACTAGTACCAACCCCTTTGGTGCAACCACAACGAGTGAGCCAGTGTTTTGAGTTTGCATATTTGACTGACAATTTTGATTCAGCTATGACACAGGCATCCGTCAGGCTACGTCTTGCTCAGAAAGAAGCCGAAGACCTCGAGCGTGGTGTCGACTATTCCCTTCATAGTGAGATATTGCCCATTGTTCTCATTTCTATGGGCATTGGCATGGAAGAAGAGCAGTAAGTTTAGCTACTCTTGGATTCACAAAGAATTAACAATATTCAGATATCGGCTTAGATGGGACATTTCAGCCCTTGGTGCACACTCAACCGATCTCCAGCGCTCAAAGATACAAGATCGGACAAATGCTCTGCAGCGCAAGATTGAGCAATGGTGCCAAGTTCAACTTTTGTATATGCCCTCGGCATCCCGTGTTCGAACCACCCGCAGTTCCAGTGCAGGGACTTCAACGGAGGAAAAAGCCCATGAGATCGATCTGTTGCTGCCATCCAAGTTGAAGGAGCACACCCGAGACACCATATGCGATGAACGGCTCTGTCGTTTTGAATGGGAGCTACGTCGAGGACAATCATTTGATGCACTTGACGACCTTCGCCGCCATCTTCTCTTACGGACTCACCTGTACAAATTCAAGGACACAAATATTCGTGGTCAATGAGCCAACACACGTGCTGCCGCTGTAATCGGGAATGTTGAGCGCCACATTTTAGAAGCCGCAGACCAGTATCGCAGAGCAAGGAACGCACTCCAAAATCTGCATCAGACACTTGGAGAGCATGACTGGCAGGATGTCTTTCTGGTACTGGAGGTGTCACACATTCATAGTATGTCAGAAGGCGAGGTAGGGCAATCAGAGGGAAATCGTACTCTCTCTTGGATCTGGAAGATGCGTGGTGTCTCTACTGCAGGAGATGTTCTTACGGATGGTGAGCAGTTCTCTCCATCATGATTCAAATAGATCTGAGATGCTTCAGTAGCATTACAAATTGAATGGTGCAAAGCAAGGGCACGCGCAAATCGCTGGACGGAGGAGGTCGAGTTGTTGTTAGAGGAAATGCGGCGTGTCAGGGTATTTCTATCCTGGCATGCTACATGGTGGGACGAGCAAGCAGACCGGAGAGTTGGATTGCCTGCTGCTGAAGCGGAAGGCATCAATGGGTACGCGAGACGCCAAGCAGTGCTTCGAAGAAACATACGAGACGCGTTCACGAGCATGTGGGGCGTGTTCGTGGCCCCCACCACTACGGTGACAGTGACAGAAGGTCCTCTAAGCGTTGTCGATACACGTACCGCTCGTACTACCGCTTTATAATGTGTAAATATGCGTTTTTTCAAAAAATCTATCTAGGGATATGTCAGACCAGAACAGGTATTTCTCTCTATTAAGGGACCGAACAAAAGAACAGGAGCTGCGACCTGTAACACGAGTTACCCGAGATCACAGATCTTGGACAGTGTTGATGAGATCTATCATAAACTTAGAATGGAAGAACACTTAGTTAGGCCTCAAGGGTGTTATGCATAATGTCGCAGGACACTTGCCTCGAGGGCATTATGCATAACATTGCGGGACTGAGCATCATCCATGCATAACCATCACATCTCTAATCACCCATGGTTATGCATTACCCTGCCATGAACAGGTGTACGCTGATCAAGCCATTTGCGTCCTCGTCGAAGACTTCGGATAAACTCAAAATGTAGAAAACTGACAGATATTTCAAGCACCACTCGTCTGCATGGTCTACTGGAGGGGACTGAGTGTGGGGTGCACTTGATGTCACTTTTGGGGCGTGGAGCATCATTATGCAGGTTGGAGAAACATTGTGTGAAATAATCATGGAGTTCTGCGATGAAGTATAGTATCTTGACACTTGTTGATCATTTCTTGAAGATGATAAGTAAGTATGTGCTTCGATCACGCCTGCACAAAGACATGCCATTTCTTTCCAGATAAATTGGAGATGCTAGTGAGATTGACCGAGTTAGTGATGCATAGAATCGAGTTTCTTAATCCTTACTGGATCCTTGGCCCGTTTAAATTTGTCACCGAGAGCCAACATAATGCGCGTTTCAGAATCCTTGATGGCATCTTTGATCTCGGCTGTCTGTTTATCGAGCTTGAACATGAAGAGCGCACAATTCTTGTCGAGTAAGCTGACTACAGGAGTGCGCAATTCGTGAAGCAGCGAGGCATCAAGGCGGTACTGCTCCGCAACCGATCCGTTCGCCGATGGGGTTTGTGAAGCAGGCTTGCTGACATCTTTGGATGGGGCATCAGAGCGTGCTTGAATCTGTGCTTCCTGTTGCTTGGCGAATTTCACTAGCTCTGTTAATTTGTCTTCGCTTTCGAAACCTGGATCCATTCCACTGCGCATGATCACTTCTTTTGCAAATCTCTTTTCGCGTTCGGTTTCAAAATATTGAGCCATTGCACCGTGAAATTTCTCTCCTTTCGCGTTCACCTAGCGTCTTGGTGAGATCCTCCAGCTTTTTGATCGCAGTGTCGACTCCCAATGCCGTCCTAATGGCCAAGGCATCCCAAAGTTCCTGTATACACTGGGAAAAGTTCCCACTAATCACGAGGAACTTATCCGCCCAATGGGATGATCTGAAGAATTTCAGGATGCAATTATCAATCCGGCGAGAAATTTAAGAATTCAAGATCAACTAACCGACAAATTTCGACTTGTAGTATTTGTCGATGGCATTTCCGCAATCCTCGACATTGCGCTTCATTTTATCCAAGACACCATCCAGTCGGCCCCGAATAGTGCCACAAGGTCCCATGATGTCCGGGTCTCTAGTGTCCTTAAGTCTATCAATGGATCGAATCAGCGAAATTTGTGTTGAGTGAGCATCAACCAATGAACTGAAGAAGCATATTCATCATATCAAATGCCTTTGCAAGCATCAAACAAACTGTACGATCGTTCTCTCTTCACCTTATTTCAAAATTCACGACAGCCTTGAAAGCGATTATAGCCACTGGAAGTCATCTTAGCCGAAGTAGTAATGTCAACAAGTTTAATACTCACCACTAACAAAGGGATGGATCTGTTGCAGAGTATCCAAGGCATCCATCACCTTCTTTGCCTCTCCAAAAAAGTCATCCATATTCTTCTTCAGGAGGTCCGCAACCATCTGGTCAGCTGAGGACTGCTGGATGACTGCAGCATTGTCATCGTATAATGTGCACGCTGATCCAACTTCTTGGGTGGTCTTGGAGATTAAGTTCCCTATGCGAGGACACGATGATCTGATTGTTAAGTGGGTGGATGGAGTGACAGCGACGGACCGGCCTGGTCCACATTTTTGAGCATTCTAGCTGACGTCGATTTAGAACTTGTTAGGGCATCATACAATGCCTTCTGCGCTCGTTCCGTGGTAATAGCGGACATGACTTGCTATTAATGAACCTCAGATTCTGTAGAAGAGAAAGAGGTTGTTAAGCAACAAGGGAGGTGAGTGAAATAAAAAAGACAATCTATAAACGAGCTCACTAGTTGGTTTATATCCATAGAATCTGATTCTCATAGGCGCTGAACCTCGTGTTCCATCATAGATAAGCCTTATTCTGCATAGCGGCGGCATCTGACACACAGCGCTAGATGTGTATAATCACTAGGGAGTCAGGTTGACCCCACCATTAGCGCAACCTGCAAAATGGTCTCCCCTAAATGAATGAAGATAGCCGCACAGAAGATCACTAGTATGTAAATTTGAGCGAGTGCTAGCGCTTGGGGCTTCATGCAACTCACCAAAGTTTTGGCGTCAGAGGGAGTCTTTTCGGGTCATAGACCATATGTCCGAGTCATTTGCATCTTTTTCTTTGGATATATGTGGTTGATGCGGCACATTGTGACACATACTCGAAGTGCCGTCTGGCAGGACTCCGCAGGTAAGCATAAAAGGAACACTGCGATGGAAAGGGTCAGTAAATAAAGATTAGATATCTCAGTGATCTCGGCAAGTTTTTCACGACAGGATGATTTGTAGTTTCTAGTTTGTTGCCTCGGAGCCAGAGGTGATCGCTCCTAAGATGCACTCAGGCTAATAATTTGTGGGTAAGAATGAAGTTGCGCAACACTGATCTGGCATAACACTTAAGCTTCATGTGGCAAGGCACAATTTGCGATGAACGTGATCGTCACCAAGTGTCTGAATTGCGCGAGGGTACTCCCACCGATTATGCAGCATTGAAATCCATTGTTTATGAAGAACTTCGCCCTGACAGGATAGACAGGCCATAGACGAAAGAAAATACGTAGTCGTTCGTTCTCTTTTCAATGCTAATCAGTACTCACGAAGGTCAACTTCCAGCTAGTATACACAGCCACCCGCACAGAACCTTGGTCATCAGAAAAGCGTGGACCTGATAACTGTTGACATTGTAAAACTCGAAGCGCTATGTATGTTAGGACAGTTGGGTTATGAGAAGGAAGCCAGCGCTACTCACCACACACAACGCAACCGCGGCGACGTCAAACTCTACCGACCGTCATGCATCGATGCCAGGGGTATCTGATACAACAAGATATGCAAATCTCACTTTGGGATGTCACCGGACGTCGGTGCAGACAAACCAAGGGTACACGAATATAGCCTTGGATGTAGTAGTATTCTTCAATGACGGTCATCAGGTCGTAACTGGTTCCTGTGACTTGACTCTTTGAATGTAGGATGCGCAGCAAGGGGGTGGAGTTCGTCATCCGGAGAGATAGCGACTGCTGTTTTCTTCTTCGAAAGTGAATAGATCATTGAGTTCAGAAAGATGAGCAGCTTGAAATCAAGTCAGCTGCAACCACACTACCGCGTCATGCAAACCAAAAGTATCAAAGACCATAAAATGGAATTTAGCAAAGGTCTTCAGTTGAAATATTCGATATCCTGGTGACGCGTGATACATAATGTGAAATGAAAGATGAACAGAGTGGAAAAGGCGTACAGCAATCGTCATATTATTATGTCCTCACTGTGGACGAAAATATGTGAGTACCACATCTACAACTTTAGCCGCTCAATGAGCTGGTCATTGAACGCTCGGTTTGGGATAGTTCAGGGATTGGTTACGGCCTCAAGTTTTTTTGGAAAAGATGGACTAGCCGAGGCATGTCACGATCCGAAGAACCAATTCACCGTGCGGCAAGATAGAAATACCAGATTATCGAGTTATCGAGTTATCAAAATCCAGATCAGTGATCATGATATGATCATATCATTGATAATATTGAAAATCGTAGATTGAAAAACATGACTATGCCAGTAGAAAACTAAGTAAAGCTAGATATAATCTGCGTGCAGTGTGTGGTACCACTCTTTATCAGAGAATGAATTGAGATAAAAATCATCGTAGCGTTCAAGAGATGTCACTGAGGTGACAGAGCGATCCAATGTCGTTCCATAGATTGGTATCAGTTCTACAGCGTGTGTGACATCGACAAGGCGTACTATCTTCCCGATCCTTGTGCGAGAACCATCAGGCGCTGTATAAAACGAACGTAGAACTCGGTACATGGCAATGTGCGGCTCAGCTTCAGGGAGCGCAGTTACTTTGAATAGCTGAACATACAGAAAAGGATCCTTGAGCTGGACTGGCAGCTGCGACCCTCGTGTTGACAGTGCGAAAACCATTCTAACTTGAGCAATGCATGGCGCTAAAGCGATATCAGTACCTGGAATTGAACAGAAATTTGAAAACTTACTAGACTGCGGGTTAGCACCCGTAGGTTGAAGAAGGACAATATTGCAGTATCCATAAGGATAAGTATTGGATGGTGGAATGGCCTGAACCTGCTGGCTCGGCATGATATTACATGGACGGAGTCGAGAATGGAGCTGCAGTCTGAATTTGAACCAGACTTTGAGCAAGCGACTATGAAACGGCGAGTTGCGACCTGAGACACCATCGAGATATTGTGAAAGGATATGTGGAAAATTTGGGAGATGGTATAGTTGAGCAAGAGCGGTGGCAGAACGATCTGCAAGATCGTGGGCAATTGTAACGTGGAAGGCAGCATTGGCTTCGTCTGAAAGTAGTCCCTTGAGAAAATGATTGCAAACAGGACGAATGGCTTGAAAACGTTGCATTTCCTGTGGCGCAACACGCGCTATCCAACTGAACGTCGGGTCCATATCAATGACTTCATCAAACTCGTCATCCATAACGTTGACGAGAGACATCCCCTGTTCACGAAGGAGGGCGTAGAAGTCGAATTGTCGCATCACGTCCTGGCGATGAATGATGTTGACAACCTGCTGAGTGAATGTGGCCCATTGGTGACTTGTCCGTTGGAATGGTGTCTTGCAATGTGTGATCAACAGCCGTTCACTGACATCTGCGGAATATTGGATTATGGCTCCTGATTTATGAATAGAACGTGCGAAGGAGTTGAAGAGCTCGAGTTTTGGGATCCGAAAATGAGCTATTGGACCAGAGGTTCCCGTGCGAGCCTGTGCCTCTAAGATGAAGTGTTTGTAGGTATGAAATTCGCGCAGGGAGTCAGACATGCTGTTAATGGACGAGTCGGTGAAGGTAGGAGCCTGTGCTTTGTATATGAAATCTATAAGCGCACGGACTGCGCGAGTGAATCCAGGGGATGTCACACCCACAATAGTGGGGACAAGGGTTCGCTGGATATCGCGATGTTCACGTCCAGTCATCTGGTTAACATGAGAGACGCCATCAGTGAAATGACGTGTGCCAACACGTTTATGCTGGCTGCGGAACCGAGCATCCAGCTCATTAGCGCCTATCACCTCCTTGCACCACTTCAGTATGTGATCAAAGAAAAATTTGTGGCCTGTGTGCAGTATCTTGGGGACAAGGAAAACCGCAGGGTCAGCAAACTTCCAGTCACGCCAAAACGGTTTGTGAACGCCGCTGAGGGACACCTTCTTTGCTGCCTCCTGGAATTCCCGGAACTTCCAGGGATCGAAAACCTTGCCAATCTCATGCAGCTGCAGTAATGTAGACATGCCATTACGGGGAGGGTGTGTGATGCCGTCGTCAAATTGTGCAAGTGTGGCTAACGTCGTTGGTGAGACACTTTTCGAGACGCAGGAGATCATGAGTTGTTCAGGAAGGTCGGCAATGTGGGCGATGAGCGGTGTGAATGCATAGCACTGGCATCCCATCGGGTCTACCATTAATTCACCCATATGAGAAGCGATCTTCAGCTTTTCGAACACCATGCCCATGCAACTATGCCAGAAGCGTGCTTCCAACAATCCTGCGTAATCACTATTTGTGATGTATTCCGGACTCAGGATATATGCAACGCACTCCCATGCATGCGAGGTTGCCTTCATACGGATCTCAGAGTGGATGTTGCCGATTGTGAGAAACGTTGGGTGCATCTCAAGTGAGCCGGTGTGTCGAGTTACTGGAGTCTTGTCTGAAGCGAGAATTATAGGCACTATAGTTGCGCCGATTGGCAACTTATCCTAGAAATAAATAAATTTAGTTAGATGTGACCACATTGACGAGGATGTATTGAAGTCACTTACTTGAATTTCAAACACGTGTTCACACGACATCCATTCTCTGTATTCACGCTCACCATCATCGTTTATTTCGTAAGGGTCGTATTCCATGTGGTTGGCAAAGATCGGATTGCCAAAGATATGGTGAACAACTTCGAGGGCATCTCGCCAGATGAGATTCACAGGATGAGTAGTCACATATCCATCAGTATGCATGGGTGTACACCGCCATTGAGGAACCTTTGGTAATGCGTCCATGAATGTGAAGAGTTGCTTTGCGGTCTTAAAAGACAGTGGCCGCTTCGCCTCTGCGACCACCTGGAAGAGTAAAATCAGCCCAGCCAATGTGAATTGATTGACACGAACCCAGAGAAGCTTTAAAAACCTGGTAATCTGCCCCTGGTTCAAGTTGTCACATAGAAATTTTGCGAGCTCCCACTCTGCTGTATCTGAGAAGGGGTAATAGACATTGTGTTTACGCATCGGCTCGAAATCGTCCTGCTCCATCCGCTTGAATGTATTGGGCTGACCAAGCTTATAAATGTAACCTGACGAATGATGGAATCGCCCTTGTCGTGGCCGATCTTCTGATGCTTGGGGGATGCGGAATGCAATTGGAGGGGGGATCAATCGGTGAGAACATCCTGGATAGAGGTACTAGTAGTCAGCGCATTCAATTTTGGGAGTTAGTTGGCTATTTACCTGGATCATCAGAAAGATGAGCACAGATATCCTCTGCGCTGTTGAAAAGATTAGAGCAGATTGGACATTGGACTGCTTGGCCGAAACTACTATGTGCTGGTCAGTCTGACTAAATCCAAAGCGATATTACTTACTCAATGCTACTGAGTCGCTCAGCAGCATGACTGTCACGACCAGGAGAATTGTGTGGGTTCATAGCAGCAGTAATGCAGAGTGATGTTGGTGGACGGTGCACTGTGCACCGTGACGGTGTTGAACTTCCTAAGTCTTTCAAACACCGCTGCCACGCCACTTGCTCATACACTCACAGCCAGCCGTATATTCATGAGTAGATTCACTGTCAAGACTCCTTCAAACCGTTCCTCGAGCCCAGCCAGCTCTCTTACCTGTGTGGACCTCTCGTCCTCGTTTCATAAAGACCACGCCAAATTCAAGGACATGGATGTCTTTGGCACAGTACATGAAATTTCATTGTCCCCCTCCCAAGCGCAACACTCTCTGGACCCTCCCTCTCCACCATCTGGCACTAAGTCCCCTTTAAACTTACCCAAATCCCCCGTGAAATCCAAATCCCCCGTGAAACCCAAATCCCCCACAAGATTCGAGCCATATTTGAAACGCAGGGCGACTGCAGCTGCCACAGCTGACTTTGCTATGAAATCTCTGCGAGGCCAGACTGCCAGAGAGATGAATCCTGGAGCCGCTCTGATGGTGAGTTATTATTTACTGTGCAGTGTTAATTAAATAACTGATATCGCATATACAGGCCAAAGATATCTTTACTCGCGGCCTTGACGATCTACCAGATGAGATGATACGTGAAGGTGCAAGGGCACAGTATGCTACTTGTGAGATATCCAGACACCATCTCGCTTCCTTGACTTGGGAGCTTGAAGCAAGCAGCCGCTGGACCAGCTTCCTGGACCTTGCTAGGAAGTTCTTGAAGGAGAAGCATGCATACTCCGAGAGAGATCTTCTGATCTGGGAACAGACCTGTACCAACCGTGGGGTGCAAGATATTTATGAAGACAGGCCCTACCACGAGTATGCAGCTACTGAAGAGACTCTTACATTATCGGTACTCCAGGAACAGGCTCGTCAGTTGAAACAGTATGTCGAGGAACGAGGCGTAGATGATCTGTCAGATGACGTAGATGATCTGCCACATGACGGAGCTGACTCTGATGGCTGCCGCTATGATTTACCCAAGTGGGGCAGTCCTACCTTGAGCCAGGGTATTACGTTCGAAGATTAAACACTGTGAGCATGAAACGTATCAGCCATCATTTCTCGTACTTATTTTCCGGTGATTGTTGAATTACATATTATTTCTCGCAGCATCATGATGTAGCCATGCTGTATACACTCTTTGTATGCGTTTTCTTGTACGTCTCATACCAAATCAGTATATCGTTATCGTTATCGCGATCATGGCCAGGCCATCAGTTCTAACTTCTCATGTTGACCACGATCAAGCCCTGTTCACGACCATCATGCCACCCAAAGCCATGCAAGCACCCAAGAAACCGAGACGTAAACAACCACAAAACTCGAGGGTAATGTTTCTGGTATCTTTCGGTGTCCGTCTTACTAAATCGTTGATGTAACAGCAAGTGCAGAGGCCTGCCAGAGGTAGCAATGAGAATCCGTGTTTAAATAATGATGAAAGTCAGGTTGGACGCCCTAGTGAACAAACCAACGATCCAACACTTGTGGACGACAGATTATTGTCGACTATGTATGAGGAGGAGATGTACTTGTCTGATGAAGATGGTCCAGAGGTAGAGCGCTCGCCATCGCCACATGATCAGCCCCCTCCTTTCGCGCAGCCTACCCACCAGCAGCACCTGCCTGAGCACAGCTCAGCCTACAGGCAGCCTCTGAACCACTCCTACCAGCAGCTGCCAGTCGGGCAGACTCATACCCACTATTCAACGCCCAGCCAGTCATCGAATCCTCTCTTCCAGCATCGACAACCATATCAACAACTCCCAGCGCACTAGCCACAAGGTGGTAATATGTATTGATGTTTAATCGATGTGCCACCTCCTCCCACTGTGCGTGGTGCAGAGCGTCTCAGTAGCCGCCTGTGTGATGATCAGCAGCCCATGGAGTACCAGCAGCCGCCAGTCAGACAGGCTCATCCCCACTATTCAATGCTCGGGCAGTCATCGAACCCTCACCTCCAGCATCAACAACCATACCAACAACTCCCAGTGCACCAACCGCAAGGTGGTCACATGTTTCAATGTTCAATTGACGCGCCACCTCCTCCCACTGTGCGTGGTGCAGAGCGTCTCAGTGGCCGCCTGCGTGATGAGCAGACACGACCTATGCGCACGTCACCGTATCCCCTCCCAGGATTACGCAAAGTGTCAGTTTTTGGCCCCCGCCGTATTGACGAAGGTTACCGTGACCAGTGGCAGAACACTGGTGTTATCTATGTGAGTTGAGGTACATCTCCACCCCTGCCACTGATCTTACCTCGAACTAGGCTGGAGCAGATAAGAACGTTGCACCGAAACGCCCAACTGCCAGAGATCTTCCGCCCATACCGTTGCCTCCATTGGATATCACCGTCCCTGGTCCACAGCAGCCCACCCTACCACACTCCCACCCAATCCAGTCTAGCAATGCAACGCACTCTCATAACGATACCGGATCTTCAGACGCTGTTCCCCCCCAGCAGCAAGAGCCTATGCCCGTGCCTGCCGACCTGGTCAATGAGATCAGCAATAGCGCGAGGTCAAAAATGCGACGTTCAGTACTTTCAGACAATGGCATGCCCACGAACGAGGAGAATATTGCAATGGCGCGCGCTGCGCTATCAAACGCTATTGCAACTCACGCAACTATTCCCCCTGGCCGATACTACCTCCCAGACGAGGATAAATTCATTACCTCGCTCACCAAAATCACGAACACCCTGTGAAATGTATTCAAAAATACTGCACGCACTGTCGTACTGTCTGCCTATGACCTCGAGCTTGACATATGGGATACATCTTGCGAAATCACACACAAGCGAAACATCGTGCCTATGCTCACCACACATTTACAGTGTTTATTCAAAATGCAAGAAATGGTGCGTCCTTTGTACAGATGCCTATTCATAGCAGTGTGTAGTATTGACAAGTAGCCAGACGATTGGTGGTGTTTTGAAAAATGTTCCAGTGCTCGAACACACTGGACTCATCCGCGTTGTCATGGATATTCTTTGGGTCAATGGCTTTTACAAAGACCTTGATCTCCAAGATCTTCAATCTCTTGATGGCGCCATTGCCCTCGCAGGTGCCGCAATTTGTTCGGCCATTCAAGAATACGAGATGGGGGTTTGGAAACGCATTGATTTTTCTACAGCGAAGTCAAAGTCGACATATACATCTATTAAGATGTATATGACAGAGACGATTTACACATGCGTTGAGCTTACAGAGCGTTTCCACTGGATCAAGGTGAATATGAAAAACCGTGGAGTATCGAGGACGGGCATTGTACTGTAGTGTATCGTGTATCGTGCATTGTGTATCGTGCATCATGTATCATGCATTGTGTATCGTGTATCGTGTATCATAGTGTATTGTACTATCGGGGCTTGATGATAATGCGATTGATAGGCTGATCTTCAAATCTTTGTCGATTATCATAATCAGTGCGCTGATCTGTGCATATTCAAAATCTCCATAGTTTTACCTCATTGCCACTAAGATTCCACCAATCGGCAAGCTGCATCACTGAGTCGTAAACGTTCGTAACACATCAAACTTCTTCCACTACTAAGCGAGAACTTAGGTGTTTTACAGATGCCATTGCTTAAAACAGTACGTAATATAATTCCGATTATCATCAGTGTTTTTTTGGTCAAAAAGCATTGCACGACTTCTCGTGTACTCGGTTTTCCATTGTGCACCTAGGGTTCCGCAGGGGTAACACCGCGGGTCGGAAACTCAACCTTATCAGCGAGAGTGAGAGAACACGTGTAAGATAGGGAGTAGCTAAATCCAAAGATAAGCCCTATCGCGAAATTGAGTCTTGACATCATGTACACGAGGAGGACAACCCTTCACTCACCATTAGCAATGAGAATTAAAACATTGTTCTTGCGCGACAGAATTCGAAAGTATGGTGGAAAGGGGTTGATGTCCTTGAATGATAGTTTGACGTCGTCCAACCCTGGTGTAGAAGTTACCGCTGAGATATTATCTGGAACATCCGGCAATTGGAGCTGCTTCTCGGCATCTTTGATGGGTGTTTGGTCCTTGCTAGACTCGTTCCCGACGATGGTAGATTTGTTTGTACTCCGAACGCGTTCTTTGGAGGCAAGAAGTCGCTGTAAAGCGGAGCAATAGGTGAGACTCCGCTCGCGTCGGTATGTATCCTTGAACAGGATTAGGAAGGACAAGAATACGACTGCTGAACAGACAAGCAGGAAATAGAAACAAGCGCGCCAGCCCAAGGCTTGTGACAACGAGCCGCCGAGTATAGGGCCCAAGGCGGGTCCTAAGAGAGGTGCAGCAAAGAAGATACCCATCGTGCTCCCTCGCTCGTGAGTGTCGTAGATGTCAGCCAGGGTCGCAGCCGAAATAGCCATGGCAGCGCATGACCTACAGGAGAGGGAATCAATGATGAATTAGTACTCAGTGCTTTTTGGATAAATGCTCACCCCGCAGCTTGAAGTGCTCGCATGCCGATCATCACCTCGATGGTATTTGAAAGTGCCAACGCGACACTTCCTACCACGAACAAAGCCAAAGCTACCAGATAGACAGGCTGTAATAAACGAGTTTTCATTACGCAGATCGGAAAGTGGAAAGCATCTAGACCAACCTTACGACCTTTAATTTCACTTGCGGCGCTCCATATCAGAGGAAAGTTCCCCTGTATGATTAGGAAAGCCGCCAGTGTCCAGCTAATCTGGCTGCTTGTCGCATGCAGATCTGCTTCTATCGCTGAGTTCGAGGCTGCAAGAACATATCAATATCAAACAACTCATTGTAGAAAGACATGTGACAAACGATTTTGGATGTTAGAAGCTAATGCAGACACCATTGTAGCCAGTGATACAATGCACAAAGTTGTTGTCTACAGGTACAACGTCAGATTAGTTACAGAGTGCTTCGCGTGATACACGCACTTTTCTGGCAGGACTCCATTGACGGGGGTCATCGTTGACTGGGACATGTTCTATGTCAATTGTACTAGCTGCGCTTGTGGACACCTCAATATTAGCGTCTTGACGTAACATTGTGGGTTCGGACACAGAACATGCGTTGGCAACAGTTGGACTAGCCATGAGTTTGAACAAGTTGAAAAGGACGATGCAGTGGAACCGTACCCGTACCCGCCACGGGTACGTGTACACACCGACCCGTAAGCACCGCGGGTACAGACCTGCACGTATGTTATTCCATCACTGTCTGTAAAATCAGCGGTAGTTGCACGGAAGCCGGCTAATTCTTCCATCTGTAGGGTGCGGTCAAAGTGGAACTTTTTCTTATTCCTGGTAAGGGCAGCGACTTTTCAAGGACATGCGAGAGGCATAAGGTGTCTGAGGAGGTCCTGGTGGCAAGACTCGCGCCATGTGACGACATGTCCGTCTACTCCGATAGTCAGAAGATTCTGCCTGTTAACAAAGAGATCAGTATTTGGACCGTTTAATTTTCACAAGCACACGCACAACAGAATACAACACTGGTCTCCTCAATAGAGTCATTTTCTGCAAGGTCTTCTGTTTGTCGTCAATCAACATGCTAGTTGGACAGTGCAGACATGCATACCGATACTGGCCAGTTGATCCACAACTTGATTCATCTGGTCTAACGTCCAGAGCATGAACGGACGAGACGCGATAGCCTCGACCCACTGGCTACCGCGAGTGAGAATGACGATCCATTGGTGAATCGTTCGACTCCACAGTCTAAAGGTCTAAAGGTTTGAGAAGAAATACACCAGGGTCTAGGAAACTGGCGACAATAGTATTACATAATATTGGATCTGAGACTGAATGTCATTATTGATTATTGTTTGCTTCGATTAATTGTCACATCTTCATCGACCACTCACGACTCACGAGTCACGACCGCTATACTGTGCTATAAACGGAACAATTACGGTAAGAAAATTGATCGATCTTTCCAACGCCCCTATTGATATTATGTAAAATGACAGCCAAAAAACATGTCCCGCGTTTTGAATAGTCCTCACGTCAGCATTAACGTCGACAACATCGTAAGCTTAACGGTCATTCTCACCCATACCAAAACTCCCATTTTACAGACGCAACTTCAATACCTCGCGTCAAAGGCGGTAATGTAGTCAGTACCACGTCACCGTGACGCAGTTCCTGATTTACAGACTCGAGGTCCCCAACACGCCAACACCGTGCCTGATGAAGCGGTTGATACGCGACTGTGCACGCGGTTGCGCTAACCTGACACAGCGCCTAAGATCGGCATTGCGCAGGGTGAGTCGTTGTTTTATGGAGAAACCTTCAAACTAAATGATGCGCAGAGATGAAGCTTATTCAAGCTGATACCATAGTCCATGACCCTAATCATGCCCCTCACAATACCAACCACCTCTTGGCCTTCTAGAATTACATGTTACTAGGACTGACACACATATTTACATAAGGGAGCCTCCGATGATCTATGAAGATCATCAGCATCGCGCGCTGTAAGCCATCGTGTTATTGCAAAAACTCTTAACTGACAAAGTGTGCAGGGATGCATATACGGGCTCAGGCTGATACCAATAATCCCATCTCCTATCATATCATATTACAAAATGCCAACCAATTAGGCCAGTGATGGATAAATGACCATTGGCATCAGGACGTACCAAGTGAATACACGCTCCAATCATAACAGTAATATTGCATAAAACTTACTGCCTTGGTGACAGTTATAGGTATTCCATGCTTCAATTTCAGGGACGCCTGCATCGATCTACAAACATGCCAGAAGGTAGTACATCTGACAATGCATCCACTTTGCGCGCATTTCTGAGATGGATACGGTAGGGGCGTCCTCATCGTATACATGCCGCTCCCAGGCTCAGTGTAGGGTCCAGGGTACGTACCACACACATATATTGTGATCTGACCCACGCTCAATTGCATGCATAATTCCTAACGTGCCATTAGGAAAGGTCCAACAAAGGCATGTAGTGCAGATCTTCTTTCCCCAGCTCTACAGTGCAGACGGTGTAGTTCTGGTGTCTCAAGACGATTTGGCCCTCCTTTACGACCATTGCCTGCGCCCCACACTATTAGAGGTTCTGCTGGAATTCGCTGATCGGGCGCCGACATCATACGCTACCGCATACATGCAATTAAAAACTCGCACCAGAGGGCTCGCGTTCAACACCCTAGACGTCCCTTGAAATAGATTGGAAGGAGTTGCTGCAATACCAAATGTCATCCTACGAGTCTTGCCACCAGGACCTCCTCAGGCACCTTTTGCCTCTCGCATGTCCTCGAAAAGTCGCTGCCCTTACCAGGAATAAGAAAAAGTTCCACTTTGACCGCACCCTACAGATGGAAGAATTAGCCGGCTTCCGTGCAACTACCGCTGATTTTACAGACAGTGATGGAATAACATACGTGCAGGCCTGTACCCGCGGTGCTTACGGGTCGGTGTGTACACGTACCCGTGGCGGGTGCGGTGTTAGCGGGTACGGGTACGGTGTTGAGTTTCCGACCCGCGGTGTTACCCCTGCGGAACCCTAGGTGCACAATGGAAAACCGAGTACACGAGAAGTCGAGCAATGCCTTTTGACCAAAAAAACACTGATGATAATCGGAATTACATTACGTACTGTTCCAAGCAATGGTATTCACATATTTTCGTCCACAGTGAGGACATAATAATATGACGATTGCTGTACGCCGTGGGCTGGTTCGGTCACGTTAGAACCATTTGAGACGCAGCGAAGCACAACCACTCACTAAGGAAACAAAAACCCACGAACAATCTGTCCTGCGAGCTAGGTCGTCGACCAATGAGGTATGGCAAGCCACGTGAGTGGACGAATCCTAGCACGGTGATCTCATCGTTTTCTTGTGTTGTATCCTGATATCTGAATCGACTGACCTTTTGAGTTCTACGTAGAGTTCAGCCATTTCAGCATCCAGAACATCGTGCCGGTGATCAAAGATGGTACAAGATATAGCGAGACGAAAGTTGCACAGCTGGCAGAGACGAGTCCAACAATCTCGAAACTGACGACGCGTGGAACTGCGAACACAGCAGGAAAAGCGAGGAGCGTTGTGATGGGTGGATTAGATGAAGAATCGGACACCTCAAAGGCCGCCGTGCAGTGTACGTTAGCGCAACCGCGTGTCAATGGTGAGGTCGACCTGACGCGAAGGATGTAAATCTAAGGAGTGAATTAACATCGCCAGCAAAGCAGACTGACCTAAAGCGAGGGTATCATTCATGATGCGGCAATCCCCGATTTTCCAGTGCGGGAACTTCGAGGATATGTAGGAATTGGCCGGTCGGTGGTAAGTCTTTGCAGATTGCTCACTCGCTCACCCACTCGGGCCCAGGTTTGCGATTGTCACTGATTCTAATGGTAATGGCGCGCTCACGACCCACGCCCAGTTCGAGATCGCATGTAGTCTGCATTCTGATGTTGTAATTGAGAGTGTGATACCTATAACTACATCCTCTAGATTTTTCAAGACAGAGATATTACTGTGGCCGCATCCGAGCCAGACTTGGACCATAGCTAGCAATCACCAATACAACTAAGAGACACGCCACGATGCAAAGAGTAACGATGCATGCAATAATTATGGGTGCAGATGGACTCAAGTCCGTAATGACACCTGAAAGAAATCCCAAGATGGACCCGATCACACTAACCAGTCTATGAGCGATGCAACGTGATCATGACCAGAAGGTTGCTTACCTTAGTACACAAAAAAAAGTGGGTATGCTTGTAATGATGATAAGCATCATTTTCTTCTTACGAAGGTAATATGCCTAGCGGACAATGTCAGGGTCGGGATGCAGAAACGTGAAGTAAAGCGAACCGCAAAATCTAGGGATCCCATTCTCTCGCCGAAGTGTTGCACCATATTTCCTGCAAAAATGCAGCCGACACCTAAAAGCAAGGAACAGGAGCACAGCGTCTGTGCGATTGCTGATGTTCCTAAACCTGGAATAGCAAGGATGGCGACGTCTAGGGCCATTGAAACACCTGCCTGTAGGGATGAGTAAGGGGGTGTACTTGTCTGTGATACTGGCAAAATCGTACCAGGGTTATTTGACTTTTAGCTTGGCTGCTGAAGTCGTTGACAAATCGTCGAACTTCTACACCATTCACAATTCCATCAACAGAAGTGGTCTGAATGCGCTCAATAGTGACTGGCACGCACAGCACCATAGCTGCAGCATTGCCGATGAACGAAAAAAGCCTATTATTTCGAGGCCTCTCTTTCACAGCGTGCTTTCGAATCAGGCGAGCCTCAGGTTGGTTATGGCGATTGAGATATTGGTAATGGCCTATGTGCGTTAACAAATCAATGACGCCTTATGTATGAGAAGTAGCAACTTACGTAGTATGTACAAGATTCTGCCTGTTAACAAAGAGATCAGTATTTGGACCGTTTAATTTTCACAAGCACACGCACAACAGAATACAACACCGGTCTCCTCAATAGAGTCATTGTCTGCAAGGTCTTCTGTTTGTCGTCAATCAACATGCTAGTCGGACAATGCAGACATGCATACCGATACTGGCCAGTTGATCCACAACTTTATTCATCTGGTCTAACGTCCAGAACATCGAAGCGGCGGTAGATTGACTTAAAGTCGTTGCTTCTGTGCTTGAATCGGTTATTCTGATTGTAACTGTAGTACCACCGGGCTCACCTCCGAGATAGCAGCCCATCTCTCTCCTTATGCGTCTCACTTGTGAGGTGTTCATTCGGAAATTGTGCGGAAAGAATTCAAAATGTTTCCTGTGAAGTGGTGAGCGACAATCCAGTGAGTTCATTTTGATTAAACGACATAGTAGGTCAGCCACTCGCCAATATTGGGCCTCCAGTTCAAGTCCTGCATAATGAGCGAATGAAAACGCAATGTGAATACAACATACTTTTATGGCGCCATTTGCTTGGGTTGACACATTCTCCGAAAAGGATGTGACCATCCATATCCTCTAACCAGGTGATGATCTGGTGGTCCGGGACCACATAGTAGTATTGAAACCTCTGCTCTCCCATAAAAATAGCCGGGTACACTACCAGCACCCACCCATCTTCTTTCGCAGCCGATCGTGATGCATTGATGAAATCATCGAGCCTCTGTAGATCCTGGTAATGACCAATGTTCATCGAAGTGTAAGCATTCTAAACGTCCATTAGATGACTACATCAGTTGTACTACAAGAACGCACCTTTCTGTTGTTATAGTAATATGTACCGCCCAGTGGGTGGACAAGTTCCTGCCAATCCCTGATCATGGGGGGCCTGTAGATGGCGTTAAAGGAGATTGGCGGGAACATAGGTGACTGACGAAGAGAAATAAATCTGCCTCGGAGGGATCAGAGTATCGTCAATTTCATTATCCGTACTAAGCATGTCATTGAAATTGAGAACTATCACAATATTATATGCATACTCACAGCATGACCGCTTCAGCGTACCGGGGCAGTTGCGTCGGCCATATGCCGATGCCACGTTCCAGCAGCCCCACAGTATGATGCTGAGAGCCTGGAGTTGCCTAGTACAACACTGTACAGTGTCAGAAAGTGCTTTGTGATCGAACGCACCATGTTCTGTAACTTGCCGACAATTACTTCCAAATCGACAATTCGCTGTAGTACTTGCGGTGAGTGCTAAACAGTCTGTTCTTTCTTGATAGGCACTGTGCTACAGGGTCGGAACTTTTGTTTTCCATGGAATAGTAAGTACACACCTCGGGTGTAGTGCATTCCACAAAGGGAATGGTAAATATACAAACTGAAGAGAGACGTTGACGCATACAAGGCATCTAGAAGTTCCCGCACTGGAAAATCGGGGATTGCCGCATCATGAATGATACCCTCGCTTTAGGTCAGTCTGCTTTGCTGGCGATGTCAATTCACTCCTTAGATTTACATCCTTCGCGTCAGGTCGACCTCACCATTGACACGCGGTTGCGCTAACGTACACTGCACGGCGGCCTTTGAGGTGTCCGATTCTTCATCTAATCCACCCATCACAACGCTCCTCGCTTTTCCTGCTGTGTTCCATCAGCAAAAGTGGCAGAAGCTGACAAGGTCTCGGCAAATACTGTAAGCCTGGCGTAGAGTTCCAATATGGCTACATGCCTTACAGGCGCCATGTCACTGGGCATTGCGAGGCTCTGTCTTATAACCGCTTAGCGCTTAACATTGTCACCTATTGTCACTCGCCCATGTAGGATTGCATGCGAAAATTATCAATCCAATTAATGCAACATATTTCTTCTCTTGCACTGCTGAAAGATATTCCAATGTTTGTACAGACTTTCTCTCGACGTTGCATTAACGCTACGGAGGCTACCGTGACGCATATGTTATGGATGGCCAGCATCTGGACAGCCAACATCATTCATCTCTCAGTCATTCAACCCGAAGTTCTTCTTTCGCTATCGACTTAACTGTCACTATCACGGGCCTTGCTGGCACTTCAGCTCCTCCGAGTCCGAGTCTGTCTCCAACACTTCATCCTTCAGTGGATGGTGGTCGTTCCGTCGCTCGCAGACGAGCCAGCTGGGCAAAGTTAGATGCAGGGCAGGATCCCTTACGCCCGATTCTCTCAGTAACTATGGAGGCGGGTCCTTCAAGAATATCGCCCCGGCCATTTACTGCAGACGAGGACCCGGTTTATTTTCTAGACAACGGATTCTTTGCAAATGCATTAGCTTACAATGAAAGTTCGATTTACAACAAATTACCCTACACTGCTGATCCATCCTCCGCCTTGTTAATTTCGACTCCGGAGTCTGACCTTGACTCATCCAAGGACGGAGACGATGTCCATCTCACTGGCACCAACTCTCAATGTAAATCTGCAGATGAAAGTTGGGCTAGTGCTAATGATTTGACCATCAGTGACTCTGAGCGCACAGGAGGTGCTGCAGGCCCCACCAGGCGGAGGACGCTACGTTACAGTTCCTCACCCTCCCCTCCCAAACGAACGGGCTCAGCATTCATGGTAATGTCGAAGCACCTTCAACGCGCATCTCTCCGCGTCGTCAGGCCACGCCTTGGACAATTCAATTCGCATACCGGATGAAGACTTCGACGATGGCAAGTATTCTCCCACACAAGATAACAAGGAGCCTCTCGAAGAACAATGGAACGAACAACAAGTGTTCCCTACCAGAAAGCTAACACCCTTACAAGGGCGCACTCTCGGTTTCTTAGAGTCCTCCAGCACGTTTCGTCTTCGCCTCTATGGTTTCCTTTCTCATCCGTATGCCTCTTCTAGGTTTCTCCCGCCCGACAATATTAATCATCCTTGCAGATGGACCGAACCTCCTGATACTTTGTTTAATAATCTTTACTGCCTGTGTATTGATATCTCAAGCGTCTCACTCAGTCCTTCTTCCCTCGGATCAGTCTATGCCGACCTCACTTAAGGGTTTCTTTTTTGCTTGGGAGGATTATGTTCTTTTTGGGTTGTTCATCCTATTCACGTAGGTGTCATATTGGTCACCATCTCCTCAGCCTGATCCCTCCTGCTAGGTTTGAAGCAATTGGCCGAATATGCGTTTCTGGATTTCTGTTAGATCCTGAAGTTCCAATATCAGCTTTCTTTGTAAGTTCGACATCATCAATAACGTCGACATCGAGGGTAGGTCCTTCCGCATCCGGTTCCTTGTCACGCGGACTCTCCTTAAAGCCTTTCTATGATCGTATATCGTGGCCTTTCAAACTTTCCGAGGCTACCCCGTCATGTTCGATGCCTGACATAGTAGTTGGTCCAAGTAGTTTGCCTCACGACGCTTCGCGTCAAGAAAAACAGACCATAGTAGATGAGCCTTCTTCACGCGCCCATCTCCGGAATCCCTCATAGCCAACTTTCTTCTCCCGTGCCCTTCGGTCAGACCAAACACCTTCAGACGTGATCTCACTGCCATTCCGATTAAATATCAATAATGTACGCGACAAGGTGTGTCGTGATATGCCATACTTGTGCCAAAGCTGGGGAAGAATTGACTTCATCGCCATTCTCAGCTTCTGGTTGAGCTTTGCACTCGCGATGGCAGGCGTGGAGCGTGGGTCTCATCATGTCGCCGTATTCAGAGCGATGACTGTGCTGCGAATAGCAAGACTTCTCGCTATTACTTCTGGAACCACTGTGAGTTTGCGGACAGGATTTTACCTATGGGCATTCACACAATTCTACAGACAATCATGCAGTCACTGAAGATCACTCGGCCGCTGCTTACTAACGTGGCATACTTTGTTGTCTTTGCTGCGGTGCTATTTTCGTGAGTCTATCCGGTCTCTGAATGCTTATCGAACATGAATTATTCTCGAAGGATAATTGGCATCCAATCGTTTAAGGGTTCTTTTCGACGGAATTGCTATCTTCAGCCCACCCTCGGAGAAAATCAAACGCAAATAACCCAATATTGCAGTGGTTACATTGATCCGGGTACCTTAAAAGCCATTCCTTATTTACAATTGGATGGTATATCAGACTCCGCGGTCGAGGGTTATATCTGCCCTTTGGAGCAGGTTTGTCAGTTTCGTCGCTTGGAATTTCTTCGACAGACGACGATATCATAATTTCGGATCAGGAGGGAGACTATCCAAACAGTGGCATCTAGAGTTTCGACAAATATTTATTATGCCGCGCTTCAAGTTGTCGTCGTGACTTCAGCCAATGGCGTATGTGTTTTTTTATTCATATTTCTGTCGCGCTAATTTCCTCTCAGTGGTCCCCAATCATGTACTCGATCATCGACGCCGAATTTTGTCTCCTGCTTCTATTTCATTGTCTGCATCCTCATGTTGAACATCTGGCTTATCAATTTATTCGTTGCTGTGATAACAAACTCGTTCTCTGCCATACATGCAGATACGCAGAAGAGTGCCTTTGGTGCTGCACCGTGTGTTTCTTAACTTTTCCATGTGCTAACGCTAATGTTTTTCCAATTACAGACTAGGACTTGATCGAAGAGCAAGAAGAGGTTTGGTCAGACGGGAAACACATTTCTCAGAGCAACTCGCTCAAAGAATTCTACACCCATACGCGCTGGTGCTGGGTGTTTCTGGCTCTCACGTCGCTCGTGGTACAAGCCACCGCCAGTGCTGATATTAACTCGGAGCCACACCCCTGGTTGACGATATTTCAACTAGGGAGGTTCTATAGGGTGATTCTAGAGTTCCCGAGAATGAAACCGGTCATGGCGAGTCTAGTCGCCATCTGAACATCTTACAAACAACTAAACCATCTCAGCTCACGGTCTTTGGGAACCTTTATGGTCTAGTGAACATGATGCTTTTCTTGTTGCTCGTCAACCTCCTTGCCGTGTTGGTCTGCATGGAGCTCACTCGCGGTGATGGCTCGATTGGGTTGAATTTCGGACAGTTGTGGAATTGTGCTGAACTCCGTCAGAAGGCATTTCAAAGTCCGGCTTATGTGGAGGTTTCATCGTGTTCCCTTTTATCCCTGTACCATAATGTCATCTTACGCATTGTTGTCCCTCCAGCTTCAAAAAATGCGCTTTGATAGATACACATCCTCGATAATCTTACCGCCACTGGCAGGCAGAAAAATATCAGGTAAGTTTCATATTCATAGGTTCACCCCTATCACGCGACTCAAGGTTGAGTGATGTGTTATCAGCGGCCGGGCGCAAAACGGTCCTCACATGGAATCCATTGGCCAACGTGTCACTTGCATTTTGTTATGGGATGCCCGGTTTCCATGCAACTCTTGATGAGATGTCGTAGGATGGACTTAAAACCTTATATCACAGCGGTAAGTTTCTGCATATATGCGCATATATTCATGTATTTGCACCAAACTGATGACCACAAACAACCAGATTAGCAGGTCACAACGATCTGCTGACTTCGCATCCCTCAAACACCCAATGCTCAAGTACATTTTGACGAACCACAACCTCCCATACCAAAGTCATCATGTAAGCCATTCAACGCTCGCGGTTCTGCATGTCTCTCTGCTGGTGATATCCAGGTTGAAGAATCTACTAACGAAGCAGGTGGTGCTGATATCCCAGATGCGGACGCTCCCGTGCCTCGTTGGGGTAAAAAGGCTGCCTAGGTATTTTAAATCCTGGTCTGTTTGCCTATTCTGATTATTGGTTTTAGTCACACAGATTTCAACGCTGTCACTCGCTGCATTACACTCGATTCGTGCCCATGCTATATATTACTCTTGCACTCACGACTCCATTTGCGCTTACAATGTCTCGCACTTGATGTCTCTCGTATACTATTGTCACACCCTTGATCCTACTTTCGGATGGCGTCGGACTCGCATAGACACCTGTGTAGTTTTGCTACTTGCATTGCTTTGTATTGTACGATCATGAAATCCACCGCATTCCATTTATTGCATTGCAGTGTGCTATCTGTCTGGTACGAGTCATGTAAGCTATGAACAGCCTGCTTGGAATTGGCAAGGCTGGATCAACATTGCAAGGCGTCTCAAGACTTTTTAAAATACATGATTCTGATGGCTTTTGACCAGCCTGCCAGGTGCCCATCTGGCACGATGGAGAGGTTGTCTGCAAGCCGTGTTCAGTCTTGGCGAAGTTCGTCAGACTGGGGGTATCTTGCCATGCCTGGAAAGGGCTTACTACCAGGCTGCACCACTTTTGCTGATGTCGCAGTTCCACGTGTCGTCAGTTTCGAGATTGTTGGACTTGTCTCTGCCAGCTGTGCAAGGCATCAGCAAAACTTCAAAACCTAGATATGGGAAGATAACATCACGGAATCGGGTTGGAGATGTTTTTAATTGATAATTTTGGTAAACCAAATCGAATATACATATATTATACCCAAAGACAAAGCAATACAATAAATTGTAAGAAAATTCCAATTCTGATGAAGACATGTATGTCTCATAACTGTGGTACTTGGTAGTAGTGATGTCACAGCTCGGCTCGGCCCGGCTCGGACTTGGCTTTTACCGGCTACACTTGCCATTCGGTTAAACTCGTCAGTCGAACCACGTTGTGTGTAGAGCGCTAGACACAGTCTCAGCGAGTGGTAGACAACGCTCAATATATTGCATTACCTAGACACAGTCTAGGCTACGAGTTAGCAAGGGTAAGTACAAGAAATGGACTGGTGCATACCTCAGCGAGTGGTAGACAACGCTAAGGTGCAGCTGCGCACGAGCAAAAACATTAAGTATCGTACGAAAGGGAAAAGAAGCCACCGGTGATGGAGATACCGGTGGTGAGCGACATGTGGTGTCGAAGGTGACAAGAAGAGATGATAAGCAAATAAGGAAAGACGACCTGGAGGTTAATCTCCCAGGAACAGTAGCATGCGTATGTTGAGGCTAATCTATCTCGTTTCGTCTAGCATTGTGCAGTTTGGTTCGACTTACGAGCTGCACGAACTGGCTACGAGCCATTAATTGAGAAATATCGACTCAAGCCGGCTCAAGTTGACTGCAGTCGGCTCTAGTCACGCGGAAGCCACTCTCACCATGCTGAATTTTCAATTCTCGCTGTAAGTCTGCAACATTTAGCTGTCGCATAGCATGAGTAAGGCTCCATTACGCATTGATGGTAGATTCAGGCTGGAAAATATTTTGGGATCAGGTTCATATGGTGCGTTCGTATGATGTCGACAGTCGATTGATTGATATTCAGGGTTTCAAATATACACTAGCTGTTGTGTACCGCGCACAAAACTTCCTTAACGATGATATCGTTGCCATCAAACTCGAACCGGTCACCAATAATCCACCTTCTCTCGAGCATGAACACCGCATTCTCAAGCAACTCGAAGGTGGAGTTGGGATCCCCCGCGTCCTTTGGTTTGGCAGGGAGTCAACACACTATGCCTTGGCTCTTGACCTCCTTGGTCGCTCGCTGCATGATCTTTTCCTGACGTGCAACCGAAAATTCAGACTTCAAACTGTTGTAAACTTAGGGGACCAGCTGGTACTTTGGTTCAAATGTGTTGTGCTGTAGATACTGACCCATTTTCCAGCTGTCGCGTCTGGAGTACATTCACTCACACGGTTATATTCATGGCGATGTCAAACCGCAAAACGCTATGATAGATATTTCGGAAAAAACTGTCTATATTATTGATTTTGGTATCGCGAAGAGATACTGGAATTCCTCAACCGCATCCCACATCCCATTTCGTCGAGGTCGATGTCTCACAGGCACCCCTGCCTTCGCTTCAATCAACAATCACTTGGGATTGGAGCCAGGTCGCCGTGACGATCTTGAATCACTTGCCTATATGCTGATATATTTCTTGCGTGGCTCCCTACCGTGGTTAAATAGTGACCACGAGAAGCTTTCTGACTCCTTTATACTCGAGTGCAAAGTAGATACCGCCATTGCGGATTTATGTGAGGGAATTCCTCCTGCATTTGCAAATATCCTTGTCTACTCGCGCTCTCTCTCATTCTCAGAAGATCCCGATTATGACTATCTACGTTCTTTACTGCACGATCTTCGCACTGCAGGGCCTGCACCAGCTACACATTCCCTGGATTTTGATTATCCGATCCCACCTTCTCAAAACCCTGAACTCTCTGAATCGGTGCCCACATGTCTGCCGAAAGCAACGCCCCTTCGTAGATCAACTCGTGTGTAAGTAGTTTCATTTATCCATACACACCGCATCCATGAACTCATCATTCGCAAGTTTACATCTACGCAACAATACCCCAACACCTGTAACTACTCCCACCTCACGTCGGATCAAGACACGTGCTATATAGCTTTTCTTTCTGTTTTCTTCTTTCAGTACTACATCTGCGCAATGCGCATGTTTGAGATTGTTTGCCTAGTATTTACATGTGTATGTATTGCACATGGTCTGTGCACATATGTACTATGCAGTGTATTAATTCCCGCGTATTAACTCCCACGCTGATCAGGGTACACCGTACACTGCAGTCTGTGATGATCACCTTTCACTCCCAACCGATCTTTCTGGGATTAACGGATGTTGCTGGAAACCACCGGATGTGGAGGAGTTGAGTGGTTAGTGATTGTGCTGTCTCACATCCACAGAAGTCTACTGCGACTGAATGTACACCATTGACATCAAGAATGACGAAGTCGTTGTAAAATACTGTCGAAATTGGGTTGTAACAACGCTCTCCGACTCGATGACCAAGCTGTATTCTGAGACCGAGGGTTTTGAGGCTAGTGTCCTTGAAGTGCCCATCAACCCAATGCTATAGTAGGATCCCTTAAGCAAATTAAGGCTCTGAATGCACGACTTAGAACTGACCTGAAGTCTGTGCAATGGACTTTCTCAATGTCTTGCCAGTGTACATCCTTTGCAATACAAAGCCGTGCCAAAACAATCCCGACATCAGTATTCCGGATATTCCTGGCACCCATCGTGGCCCTCACAGACTTGATGAAAAATGTAGTCGCCACGTCCATCCAATCGGAGAAGCTCAAGAAGAAAATTCTCGCGTTCTGGAACCCAAAGTGCAAGAGGATTGTCCTAGCAAATGGTGTTAGTGCAGTAACCGAACCTTATACTATACGACACCTTACACCAGCTGTTCATTTTCGCTTTTTGGGTTCACAAGATGTGTCGGCTATGTAATCGTCGTAAACAGAATATGCAGCATCCAAGTTGTCGTCCAAGCTGAATTCAGGTTCTTGTGTTTGCGACGGGACTTGAAGGCCACTAGGGACGCTAGCATCTGTTTGCGAGCATATATAATTGGTTTGCACTGCAATGCAACCAGGTCCTGTGATTGTGTGTGACTGGACTTTGTGGTAAAGAAGGTGGGTATCTGAGTTCGTCTCCTCGATCAGTCGTGGTTGTGAAGCTCGTTGGCGGGCAGCATGATTCGCTTGGTTGAGATCAGACCATGCTTGTGTGAGTTTGTCGCGCTCTTGCTTGTGCTTGCCCATAGTGAGTGACTAGTGCGCAATAGTAATATTAGAGTATCAGTAGCAGTACTTGAGCGTGGGTTTTGGTCCTACCAAGTCATGGGTTTTGGTCCAACTGGCCACTGGTTCTACTGGCAGGACTTTTAGTTACATTCGACTTCCCTACTTCTTTTGAACCAAGACCACGTACCACCCAACCAAAATCCTTTCCAGAAAACCATCACTTATGGCTCGTCCAACCATTCACATCACTCCTGAGGCAAAATTAACCGCTGCTCGTGAAAAACGCCGGCGCTATTATGCTAAGTATGTCACACCTTATATGAATTATCTCCGAGCGTTCCTGACTCACTTGTCCCAAAAGCCACAGAGAACTAATTCTCAAAAGACGCAGAGAACTTCGTAGCCCCAAGCGTGACATGAAGGAATCACAAGAGTTATTGAAAGCTCTATCCAAAGTGTTGCATGGCTCTGCCAGTGATGAAGACTCCGAGTCTGAATCTAATAATGAGAATTCTGAGTCCGAGCCTGACACAGACATCAACCTGTGTGTTCTTGCTATATAAATAGAAACATATGTCATATATTCATTCATATCTAACAGATCCGATCTTACACAATGTTTGTTCGCTCTCAAGGTTATCAAGGACGAGATGTTGATGGTGACAGATGATCCTTGCGCCTTCGTCCAAGGTGTCTTCACCAAGTATGTTAAGACCCTGGATGACAGCATTAAAGGTGATGTCAGCATCCTCGAAAAACCAATGGCGATAATTGAAGGCTTGCTCAACCGCATAATTCCTATCCAAGATCAGATTCTATATTTCTGTGGAATCACATCCGACGAGTGGTGAGCCACTGACTTGGCATCCCGTTTCCTGAGAACCATTCTCGCATATCTAGAGGATATCTTAAGTCTTCTGACATTTGATGGAGCTGGGAACCTTGCAGTGGCTCACTCCATGGGAGAACTTATGTACCAGAAGGGCATCAAAATTTGACGAAGTTCTACACTAACGCTCGTGTACATACACTCATGTACATATATCAAATACGTCGATTGTGTTTTGATCTTTGGAAATATCAAATGTCCGCACTGCATGATGAAATAAGGTTTTGCAATACTACGGCATCAGAGCCTAAACTCATTATCCTACACTGCCATAGCACAGACTGTGTAGGTCCGTGCTATGGCAGTGTAGGATAATGAGTTCAGGCTCCGATGCCGTAGTATTGCAAAACCTTATTTCCGTCAAAAACCCATGTTACGACAAAAAACAGACCAATCGCGTTAGTATGTTTTTCCATCGGATGACATGTCACTAATCAAGACATGCCGATGTCTATTAGATGGCAGGAACAGAATGGGTGACTGCCGAGCAAAAGGAATATTTGCAAGGCTTGTATAATGATTTTCTGAAAGCACAGGCTCAAGGGACTGTGTCGGCCTTCTGGCCGGGGGTTTATCTCACTTGGTTCGAAAAGTGGCCCGAAATTAATTCAATGCTCCCAGACATGTCAATGCACGCAGAGGAACAGAAAAAATTATTGGGGGAAGCTGTAGACAAGAGACGTCAGGTGCGAGTACTACCAAGCTCTCATATGTATATATCATATATTCAACAACATATATACTTAGCAAATCAGGACCTGGTTCAATTATAGATCACAACGTAGCGGACGCGCCTCAGTCAACAAAATGACAAAATCTATTCATAAGATGATTGGAAACAAGGCAAAGGGGACCTGAATTCACAGCCCTGTAGAAATCTTTGCCAAATCAGGTTTTGCGACCGATGTCCGAGATCAGCTACAAGAGGCTCTCGCGTCAGGTTCTGTTATTACAAAGGGTGATAGACTTTCAACCATGAAAAAACTTACAAGAGAGGCATACGAGGCAGTGAATCCTGAGGTGAAAGCACTATGCTTGGCAAAAGTGCAGGAGGAACGTGAGACAAAGGCCAGCGAACTGCTCAAGGCCAAGTCCAGAGCGCGAGAAAGGACAAATTCGGAACTAGCTACGTTCGTTGACCTCATTTACCTACCAGTACGAGAACTATTGGCTCACAGTTACCAAATAGGGCTCTTGAAGAATGTACCGGCCCCATCGCACACTTCTTGCAAGCTATCCATGAAATGACTGGCTTCCATTGGACTATTCTGGGTGCTGGACCTGACCCTCGATATAATGGTGAAATCAATGCGATGAGGTGAATAGAATTTTCTATTGCATATACTGCCTACTGACATGTCGACATTTTGAAGTTACCATACAGGAATCAATGAGTACGGGCAAAACTGGAGGCAAGCCACTCCTGATTTCGACGACAAGTACATCAAGCCATATGTTGCCTTCATTTCGAGTCTTTTTCGTAAGTTGCTATTCTCTTCTCTTCTGATGAAATTTTTGGACTTACCCAATCAAGCAGAACATGTCAGGAAGATGCGCGCAATTGATTATGTCCCCATTACCCCCTCATCCACTCTTGGAACTGACACCAACCTAGTGGCTGGGGAGTCGCAGTCTTCTAATACCGGCCAAAACCTTCCATCAAACTCGGTGTTGATGTCTTCACCCTCCCATCCGCCGCCTATAGCTCATGCACCTATCTCTGCAGTTGAAAACATGCACCAGCCTCCTGCTGATACCTGGTATCCGACTCAGCATCCAGATGGGCTAATTTCCTTCAACAATGGATATGATTTCGGCACTTTGGGAGACTTCGGAATGTCAGACTTTGAGAATCCCTCTACAACCGGCATCATGAACACATCAGTGCCATCGTCAAACCTGCCTGCTTGTTTAGACTCACCATCAATTTCGCCCATATCTGCATGGAAGAGGGACATGCTTTATACTTCTCCTCCTCGCTTTCGTCCACGGCTCTTAGCTGAAAACTTTGCATCTTTAACTTCCCTGTCTGACATCATCAGAAGGTCTTCTCCAGCACCGTTCATCCCTCCACCTATGTTTTCTTTTCCTCCACTCCCAGTCCCACCACCGGTGCCTGGTTCTTCGGCATCAGCTCCTGTTTCATCTCCAACACCATTTGGGAATCTCTCCAGTCACACAGTTGCAGGTAACAACACTGTTGATGCGAGTGCCAATGGGTCCGGGATAGATACCTCAGTGGGTGTGGGAACGGTTGGTGCTGTTGCAGCACTAGAAGCTATCTGAGTCGACTCAGGCAGGAACGTTACTACCTCCTCCGAACCCATAGTAAGTGAAGGCGACGAACCTCCCTCGGCATGCACAGAGAACCCTCCCACCAGTGGCAAGCGTGTTCAAAAGGTTCTCGCAGACCTGGAAATACCCAGCAAATCAAACAGTACCCCGCCTATCAGGAAAACTGGACGTGTTTGAATGGAGACGACTCGATTCACACAGGCAAACAGCATCGGCCAAAATCCCAAACATCCAAGACCCGCTGAGTCCCAGAACGAACGTCCTAAGAAAAGTAAGTGTCTTGTTTTCTCCGCCTTTACCTTGGCTCATGCACCCATATACATAGGAAAGTAGCATAGTTGCACTGCTGAAGGTCGTTTCTTGCAAAACGAGTATATATACCTTGTTCCTTCTTGCGTGCATGTAGTAGATATTATTGTGACCTTCAAAATATATGTTTTTGTCGTTGTTCAAGTTGTTTATTGCATAAGAAATCGTACATTAGTACATGTAAATGCAAAACAGACATGATACGTGTACTAGAACCACTGTCACAGATGCCAAAAGACTACGCTAGTCTATCACTTGAGGGACTTAGTAGAAATTATGCCCGGTTGAAAGACTTAGTGAAATTTCCTGCACGAGATCCGGATAGAGATCTAGCAAGGCTCGAATTAGGAAGAAGCTGGGAAAGAGGCCAGAACGGGTACAAAGGAGTAGATTTATGATCGGGATAAGGCTCGAATTAGGAAGAAGCTGGAAGGGAGGCCAGGAACGGGTACAAAGGAGTAGATTTACGATCGGGATAACCAAATTAAGGTGCGGATAACCGGCAGGAGGTGCTCGACACTGTTATGCATAAAAGCAACAGTATTTGGGGATTAGCGTGAGCCATGCATAACGACGAAGTCTCTTACCATCCTTATTTATGCATAATTATGACAGCATAGCCTGCAGCGTAAGGGAAGTTAATGCCTTTACTTCCGCGATACTTCTGGGCTTGAGTGTACCTCAAGCACTTGCATACTGGGCTGCAGGTGAGTATTTTGGTCATTGTCGTCAGGTCGAACTTGGAGCGTTTACATCAGCAAAGGTTGGAGAGTGGATAGCCAACATTACCACACACGAATTGAACAAGTCTTGCACAGCATGGTTCATGTGCAAGCAGATGTACTGCCGGTAAACAGGAGGTGTATCGCCTTGTACTTGGATTCAGATGTTATCCAGGGTTTGGCGCTTTTCTCACCTCTGAATGCGGATATTTACACATGCAAACAGGCATCAAATGGCTCGTGCGCTCTCTTGCAGAGCTTGGGCCAGAGGACTCAGACTTAGATCTCACGCAATTGTCTGATAGATATCGCAACATTCAGGAGAATGACTTGGTGAAAAGACTTGACACTGTAAAGTATGAAATCGACTCCAAAGATTCCTTCAAACTTTTCGGATCTGATCGCATCAAAAATGTGAGTCGTCGTTCACTCAACGTTTGTACCGAATGCCCACATGAATGTTTGTTCAGTTCTTACTGCCAGTGCTTTACCTCATTACGAGGAGGCATCTACAAATCATGAAACTTGCCAGGACAGTAATTCTGGTGGATAGAGAATTTGAATGTGCAACTCAAATGATATCTAATATATTGGAAGTGGTGGATCTGCGTGTTGAACAACTGGCAGGTATGCTCCTAAACTCACGGTTGTGATGCACTTTTCCTTCTACAACAGAATCATTTCGCCAGCAGGGAACAGATGCAAAAGCAAGGTTCACGTGGTATGCACACGGCTTGGTGCGTAGAGACAACAACAGTGTATTTATTTCCGGTCCCTGACGCCCCGCAATAGTACAACTTTTGGTACAGCCCAGAACGAACCGCAGACGACACTGAATGTTGGGAAGCCCATGATTTTGAGCTTGACAACACTGAGCTGGAGATTGATAAGACAGCATTGAAACTTGGTCCCTTCAGTCTGACAGAGGACCAGGAATTGTTAGAAAGGCCTGTGAAGCTCGTCGCATATACCCTTAACCAGCAGCCTGAAGATCCCAAGGACGAATATATCCGTTTGTGGTGCTTGAATAAGCTCCACAATAAGAGAAAGTCGTTCCCTTTGGAAACCTCACCTTACCTATCGCCCGAGCAACAACAAAGGTTCAAAGCCCTGTCCAAAGGGCTGCCTGAATCAGATGTCCAACACTGGAGTTCATTAGCTGAACTTGAGACACGCAAATGATTGTTTGAGTAAGTACAGCTTCTGTTACCTATCATTCTTCGACTATCTACTTATCTGGTGTTCAGGTGTTGCTGCGACGCATGCCACTCCCTTATTACTGATGTATATCACCATTGTATAGACTGCGATGATGGTGAGTGCGATTAAAACAACTATGGTGCACAATACAACTGGATCATAGCTAGATGGGTATGATTTGTGTTCAGAATGCCAATCTCTACCAATTTCAAAACACAAATATCCATCGGACCACAAGGCGACGCACAACTTGCTTGTTTTCCGCATGGTGCTCCCTTATAGTTGCTGCAGCCGAATTCGGTGGCATGCTAGGAATTTCTTATCTGGTATTCTGCCCACCACAACACCACCGGAAGACGTATGCCAAATGCAATCAGATGGACCTGAACTTCCACATCCGACAGAAGCCACTCGAGCAGATGATTCTTTCACATCTGTCGATTTGTGGGGAGGTGATGACTTGAAACCTCAGCCGCGAATGAGGATGCCTATTCTTGTGCTGAATGCAACATCAAGATGAAGGGCATTTTTTATGTATGCTTTAACTGCAGAGGTCAGATTTCCATCTGTCTAACGGGGCACAAAGCTTGACAATTATTACAGAAAGCCATTTCCCCATTGCCCTATGCGGTGATTGTGCATTTCACGATGTGTTCAACGTGGCCACAGATCACCACCCTTACAAACACTGGCTGGTCAAGATTAAAAGACCGAGTTCAAGATACAGGCATCGAAACGTCAGTCGAACCTTTGGCTAACGTGGACGAGACTACTTCGCTTTCCTTACGAGTTGATAAGCTGGCTGCGATGGTAGAATCTCGCTTCGTGGGACAAGATCTCCGGCTTAGTGCACTTGTGAAACAGGTTGAACAGCTCGTGCATAGCATAGCTGCGTTGACGGGAAAAGCAGAGCTTCCTTCTGAATCCGTTACTGTTTGATTGGCTCATAATTTGACAGACTGTTGTAGTTGATTCTCGCTGTCTCCGTAACCTTGTACTAGTATATATCGATCAGTACAGAATTGCTATGTCCTTTGTGCGAGTGTGCCGCTGTACCCACTCAACTAGCATATGCGTGACCCTCATCATACCGATAGCAAGATGAAGCTCAGACGCAAAAACCAAATACAAATTCGTCTAATAAATGATTCATCTATTCTGGCATGTAAGTAGCCAGCTATGTACGGCCCCGTTCCAATACGAGTTATAATCAGCATCAGTGAGGTGTTCACTGTTGAACATCAGAGTTTAGCGTCACCGTCCTTGTGCTCAGTCATCAGCAAAAGTGGCGCAGCCTGGTAAGCCCTTCCCAGGCTTGGCAAGATACCCCCAGTCTGACGAACTTCGCCAAGACTGAACACGGCTTGCAGACAACCTCTCCGTCGTGCCAGATGGGCACCAGGCTGGTCAAAAGCCATCAGGATCGTGTATTTTAACAAGTCTTGAGACGCCTTGCAATGTTGATCCAGCCTTACCAGTTCCAAGCAGGCTGTTCGTAGCTTACATAACTCATACCAGACAGATAGCACACTGCAATGCAATAAATGGAATCCAGTGGATTTCATGATCGTACAATACAAAGCAATGCAAGTAGCAAAACTACACAGGTGTCTATGCGAGTCCGACGCCATCCGAAAGTAGGATCAAGGGTGTGACAATAGTATACGAGAGACATCAAGTGCGAGACATTGTAAGCGCAAATGGAGTCGTGAGTGCAAGAGTAATATATAGCATGGGCACGAATCGAGTGTAATGCAGCGAGTGACAGCGTTGAAATCTGTGTGACTAAAACCAATAATCAGAATAGGCAAACAGACCAGGATTTAAAATACCTAGGCAGCCTTTTTACCCCAACGAGGCACGGGAGCGTCCGCATCTGGGATATCAGCACCACCTGCTTCGTTAGTAGATTCTTCAACCTGGATATCACCAGCAGAGAGACATGCAAAACCGTGAGTGTTGGATGACTTACATGATGACTTTGGTATGATAGGCTGCAGGGTATCGCTGTTGCGGTTCGTCAAAATATACTTGAGCATTGGGTGTTCGAGGGATGCGAAGTCATCAGATCGTTGTGACCTCATGGCGCTGCTAATCTGGTTGTTTGTAGTCATTAGTTTGGTGCAAATACATAGAGTATATGCGCATATATGCAAAAACTTACCGCAGTTTTAAGTCCACCTACGACATCTCATCAAGAGTTGCATGAAAACCAGGCATCCCATAACGAAATACAAGTGACATGTTGGCCAATGGATTCTATGCCAGGACCGCTTTGCGCCCAGCCGCCGATAACACGTCACTCAACCTTGAGTCGCATGATAGGGGTGAGCCTATGAATATGAAACTTACCTGATCTTCTTCTGCCTGCCGGCGGTGGTAAGATTATCGAGGATGTGTGTCTATCAAAGCGCATTTTTTGGAGCTGGAGGGACAGCAATGTGTTAGATATCGGAGATAACATTATGGTAAAGGGATAAAAGAGAACACGATGAAACCTTGACATAAGCCGGACTTTGAAATACCTTCTGACGGAGTTCGAATGCACAACGCGTGAATGTAGTTCGTGGTGTTGCTGTTTTACAATACCCCGCACAATTTTGATCTTGTTAGTGCATGCATAAACTGGAATACGACACTATGTGAATTGGATCGTTAGAGAGCTAATGGTATTGGACGGACCTGCGACAAGTCTTCATAATCTCTTGCAGCAATGTTTGACACATTCCGACTATGAGAAGTTGCTGATGATGATACTAAGCAAGCCATAAGCCAACAGGCCTGGTCTGTGAAACATCGACCTGCAGTTGCTGGTTCTTCCCAGTAATACTCATCAAGACCAACATGACATCGATCCACCCTTCCAACAATACAATCTCAAAAAGAATGAGCATCGAGGATCGGAAGTTGTCAAAGGAGAATGTCGTAGAAGGTGAAGGATTGTTCCAAGCACGAGGGGCCAGCCTTCTGCGCCTTCCACTCGGAATGTTCGTCATGGTCGTTCTCAGTCGTGTCGTTGCCGTTGCCCACCTTGGCGAGAATATCACTACAAGTTCATGTCAGCAAAGCTGCCACTTATTGGATACCAGAAAGCTCACAGATAACGCCCTGTCTCTTCGTTTTGCACTGCTGTCAACTCACAATGGCTCTGTCGTAAGTCCGCCAACAACACATCATTAGAATCCATAGTCCCAGAAAACAGTTGTTAAAGCATCGTCAATGATTTTGAAGGCAGATGTCTCGCACTCTTCAACAGAACGGATTTCTTTCGCATCAGGATATCAGCAGTTTGTCATCTCAGACACTCAAAAACACATACAGCCCCATTTCGGTTGTGCTGTCTAACAACCCCATAATCCTGCACAAGCGTCTTCTGCATTGGTAAGACCAGGTTCGAAGGAAAGATTTCGACCTTGACGCGAACAGATCCGCCTTGATCCATCGATATGGATTCAACTTGCGAGTCCAACTATTGTGCATGACCCTTTGTGGGTGGTGTTGAACCCAGTAGTCCGATGCCTGTTTACTCTTCTTTGTTTCTTCTGCGACACTGAAGTTCTCGTGAATGACGGCGACAAACATCTGCATCATGATGACTGGAGAAAACAATGTGCGTCAATGAAGGAGGGCAAGCAATATGCACGAGCACTTTAGGCGACTTACAATTTGCAAATATAAGCCACGAGCATAAGAAAATAATCACAATCACCACCTGCCCCAGGGAAATCCCTGTAATTGCTGTCGAGTACAAGATGTTTGTCCAATTCTCGGAGGAAAAGAGCTGGTACATAGCGAGGAACGAATTCCACAACTGTCCGAAATTTAACCCAATCGAGTCATTCATATCACCGCGAATGAGCTCCACGCAGACCAACACAGCAAGGAGGTTGACGACCAGCAAGAAAATTGTCATGTTCACTAGACCATAAAGGTTTCCAAAGACCGTGAGCTGAGATGGTTTAGTTGTTTGTAAGATGTTCAGATGGTGACTAGACTCGCCATGAGCAGTTTCATTCTCGGGAACTCCAAAATCACCCTATAGAACCTCCCTAGTTGAAATATCATCAACCAGGGGTATAGCTCCGAGTTAATATCAGCACTGGCGGTGGCTTGTACCACGAGCGACATGAGAGCCAGAAACACCCAGCACCAGCGCATATGGGTGTAGAATTCCTTGAGTGGGTTGCTCTGAGAAATGTGTTTCCCGTCTGACCAACTTCGACGACAAGTCCTAGTCTGTAATTGGAATAACATTAGCGTTAGCACATGGAAAAGTCAAGAAACACACGGTGCAGCACCAAAGGCACTCTTCTGCGTATCTGCACGTATGGCAGAGAACGAGTTCGTTATCACAGCAATGAATAGATTGAGAAGCCAGATGTTCAACACAAGGATGCAGACAATGAAATAGAAGCAGGAGACAAAAATTCGGCATCGATGATCGAGTACATGATTGGGGACCACTGAGAGGAAATTAGCGCAACAGAAATATGAATAAAAAACACATACGCCATTGGCTGAAGTCACGACGACAACTTGAAGTGCGGCATAAAGCTCAACCAGAAGCTGAGAATGGCGATGAAGTGGATTCTTCCCCAACTTTGGCACAAGTATGACATATCACGATACACCTTGTCGCGTGCGTTATCGATGTTTAATCGGAATGGCAGTGCACATATTACAGTGACCTATCTCCGTATAATACGAGGGAACGGACATGCATAATATCCCGTATGATACGGGCCAGCGGACCATGGGCCCATGATAAAAATATCCTCGACTATGACGGATGGGCCGGGAGGCAAATTATTCCCGATGGAGACGGGTGGGCCCATGCAGGGAATATATAGAGTAGATGAGTGGGCCGATGTACATGAATATTAGGTAGACGGGTGGGCCGAGGTAGTTGGATATTATGCAGATGGGTGTATTAAGGTAGATGTGTATGAGATAGATGGGTAGGTACTTGTTATCACATTCACGGGTGGGCCCAGACACATATTAAATTAGACGGGTGGGCCGAGGGTATTATAAAATATTGTATTAGACGGGTGGGCCCAGACGCATATTAATTAGACGGGTGGGCCGAGGGTGTTGTATGGGATGTTGTATTAGACGGGTGGGCCGAGGGTGTTGTATGGGATGTTGTATTAGACGGGTGGGCCGAGGGTGGTATAAAATATAGATGGGTGGGCCCATGTGTATCATAATTGTAGACATGATGGAGCTGAGGTAGTTGTACATCAACCAAATCAGAGGAGGTAATAAATCAAAGTTACCAAGTTCCCGGAGCAGCAGGTGATCTCCTGACATGGCCTTTGATGGTGCACAGGTTGTCTTGCAGAATGTGGAATCCGGGGTGCGAAGCTTGTGTTGCCCTACGAGAAGCCAAGTTCCGACCACCAGAATTTGAGTCAACTGTACCGAGCTCCGAGTTCCGAGTTCCGGGACCCGGAACTCAACACATAATTTAGTTAATACTTTCCGTGTTAAATGGCCAACCGAAGTTGAGATGTTTCTGAAGAGAGCAGCAGGTGCTCTCTTGACATGGCCTTTGATGGTGCGTAGGTTGTCTTGCAGAATGTGGAATCCGGGGTGCGAAGCTTGTGTTGCCCTACGAGAAGCCAAGTTCCGACCACCAAAATGTGAGTCAACCGTACTCAGAGGAGGTAATAAATCAAAGTTACCGAGTTCCCGGAGCAGCAGGTGATCTCCTGACATGGCCTTTGATGGTGCACAGGTTGTCTTGCAGAATTTGGAATCCGGGGTGCGAGGCTTGTGTTTCCCTACAAGAAGCCAAGTTCCGACCACCCAAATTTGGGTCAACCGTACCGACTTCCGAGTTCCGGGACCCGGGAGTCGACAAATGAATATCTGATGACCAGCACACTTCCAATCAGGTAGTATTTCATTGAGCAATGGATAATAATACATCTTTGACAGCCAAAATTATCTCAGGCTCCCTTATCTGATCCTCTCTATCTCCACCCCCTTTAACACCAAAGTCCGGACATTCAGCATTCAGTGTCTGATTTCCCAAGATTAACATCCAGCATGAACGGTTCTTCCCCTTCCACTCCTGATAGTATAAACATCTGGCGCACTTGGGCCCTGACTGTGACTTATGAAGCAGGGGAATATACCGAACAGAAATTCAAGGCAGAGAAGACTGGAGGAGGCCCAGTCATACCTTCCCCCAACCTAGACACTGATCTGGTGATGGCGTGCGATCGCTTGGCTGATGTACTCATAAAGGCATATAAAAATCCCAGTGGGTCTTCCTGCAGATTCGGAAAATTCGTTTTATCATTCAAATTCCTGCATGACAGTTCAGATGCAGGTGGATATTGCAAGATATAGCAAATTGATCTCCCCGAAGGACACCGGGCATAATGAACAGAGAGAGGCTAGGTTGCTTGAGAGGTGTCCTCCTGGCCATGAAGGCAAAAGGTTGGTCGACGAACCTGCCACAATTCTCGATGCATCCGGTGCCATCATTGCATGGTACCTCCCAGACGCCCTGACCGACACCACCCAGGTGTGTAATATACATTGTTACTCAATGGATATTGAATATCAAATGGAACCTACAGAAGGAAATCAGGGAAGCCACCAATTTGCTCGCTCCAAGCCTCGAAAAAAGTGTAAGGGCTGATGGCAATTGGCGAACTAATCAAAAGTGGTTCAACCGGGGCTCGGAAGATGTTGGGGCAACTCCCGGATGCATCAATTTATCTCCGGCATGGTTTCAACAGGGACACGAGGTAGGATCTGATGAGATGGTGATTCCGGCAGTCATACTCACCAATCCCAAAGAATGTGTCCGATCCGGAGGTATCTGCATCATTGAAGGGACCTTCCTGCGAGAATATCCTCAAAGCCATTTCAAGGCCAGCAGCCATCGCGTCCGCGGCACTCAGAGTCATGCATCCTGAGCAGTACTGGGCAGGGTTGCGAACCTTGTCAAACCTAGGACATATAGCAGTAAGCAAGGATCTGCCACAGATGCCGGAGGCCCTGCAGTACTGGGCATCGGTGTTTAACACCCTCTCCATCATTTCCAATCGGGAAACCCCAAATCATCGAGACCATTTGTCCATTGCTGAATGCTTCGACATTCTCACCACCGTGGGGAACTATTCTAATGCTCGGATGACAATGCCAAGCCTTCAGCTGGAGTTCAAGTACAATTCCGGCTGTATGATTGCGTTTTCCGGAAGGATTGTGAGACATGGAGTTTATGATGTGGAAGGGGATCGGATTGCTTGGGCATGGTATATGAGGGATTCTGTTCACATTTACGCTGGTGTTCCATCATGTGGATGGGCTAGTGTGGATGGTCCATACAGTGTGTGAAAGATCAAACAAAGAGCATGCATTGTGACCTATATACATTCCAACAAATGAATACCATGTACCAATAGTTATCTGGACCTCAATACTCAATTGTGAGCATTTGCGAAGTGATATATGGGACTGAATAATTTGGATGCGAGCCTCGGTATTCGATAATCGGAACTCGGGACTTGACATATGGGAGTCCCGAGTGCCGGGGTACTGAGTCCCGACACCCGGACCTCAGCACTTGATATTTGAGACTGGGGGAAGATGTATCAATATGCTCAAATTAACATTTGTTATTGCCGTACACATTTGACAAAACCCTGAACCCCGACATTGTGAACTCGGGACTCGACACTGTTCTGAATATCGAGTCCCGGAAGCCCAGGTCCCGAGTCCCGAATTTCGGAGTTCGGGGTTCGGCGACCCGGAGCTCGGCAACTGTGTTGGGTGTCAGGGTATGCGGAGCATTGGAGATAGCATGTGTCAGTATTTTGCATTTCATGGTTCATGTTTGGCTGACACATGCGATCTCCAATGTTCCGGATACCCTGACACCCAACACAGTTGCCGAGCTCCGGGTTGCCGAACCCCGAACTCCGAAATTCGGGACTCGGGACCTGGGTTTCGGGACTCGGGACTCGGAGCTCGTGACCTGGGACTCGACAGTGTTCTAAATACCGAGTCCCTGACGCCCGATTCTATAATCACGAAAGATTCCATAATCACGAAAGATGAACCATGAAACGCAGAATACTGACACATGCTATCTCCAATGCTCCGGATACCCTGACACCCAACACAGTTGCCGAGCTCCGGGTCACCGAGTCCCGAAGCCTGAGTCCCGAGTCCCGAATTTCGGAGTTCGGGGTTCGGTGACCCGGAGCTCGGCAACTGTGTTGGGTGTCAGGGTATCCGGAGCATTGGAGATAGCATGTGTCAGTATTCTGCGTTTCATGGTTCATCTTTCGTGATTATGGAATCTTTCGTGATTATAGAATCGGGCGTCAGGGACTCGGTATTTAGAACACTGTCGAGTCCCAGGTCACGAGCTCCGAGTCCCGAGTCCCGAAACCCAGGTCCCGAGTCCCGAATTTCGGAGTTCGGGGTTCGGCAACCCGGAGCTCGGCAACTGTGTTGGGTGTCAGGGTATCCGGAACATTGGAGATCGCATGTGTCAGCCAAACATGAACCATGAAATGCAAAATACTGACACATGCTATCTCCAATGCTCCGCATACCCTGACACCCAACACAGTTGCCGAGCTCCGGGTCGCCGAACCCCGAACTCCGAAATTCGGGACTCGGGACTCGGGCTTCGGGACTCGGTGACCCGGAGCTCGGCAACTGTGTTGGGTGTCAGGGTATCCGGAGCATTGGAGATAGCATGTGTCAGTATTCTGCGTTTCATGGTTCATCTTTCGTGATTATGGAATCTTTCGTGATTATAGAATCGGGCGTCAGGGACTCGGTATTCAGAACACTGTCGAGTCCCAGGTCACGAGCTCCGAGTCCCGAGTCCCGAAACCCAGGTCCCGAGTCCCGAAACCCGAGTCCCGAGTCCCGAATTTCGGAGTTCGGGGTTCGGTGACCCGGAGCTCGGCAACTGTGTTGGGTGTCAGGGTATCCGGAGCATTGGAGATCGCATGTGTCAGCCAAACATGAACCATGAAACGCAAAATACTGACACATGCTATCTCCAATGCTCCGGATACCCTGACACCCAACACAGTTGCCGAGCTCCGGGTCGCCGAACCCCGAACTCCGAAATTCGGGACTCGGGACCTGGGCTTCCGGGACTCGGGTGCAAGATTTTTGAATGCATAGAATATTTTACATCTTGTATACAATGAACACTGAATGGGACTACACTCCTTTGCCTTTCCTCAATTTCTCTAACATGTCAGTGTA